AATATATTCACTGTATACTACGAAGTACAAGAACAAAATATTCCATACAGAAAAATTAGGTCAAATAGGAATGGGCCCAAGGTGGATGACCAGAAAACTTAAACATGACATAGGAATAAAGAAAGGAATTTATATGAAATTAAAGGAGGAGGAGCAGCTCAGAAATAGGTATAATAAACTATCTATGAATGTTAAGAATTTAAGAAGGCAAGAGAGACTATGAAATCAGGATAGCAAGAGAATCCAAGGCGAATCTCAAGGATTTTTCCAGGAACAAAGTCAGGACAAAGGCCTTTAAAGTCGGTAGAGGGGTGATCGATGACAGGAGAAAAAGCAAAGCATTGAAGCATTTTTTATCAGTTACAGAAGAAATTCACGAGAAAATTCCAGAGGTGGAACTGATATTTAGGGAAAATGAAATAAGAGAAATTTAAGAATATCACTATTAGAAAAGAGGATGTTCTAAGAGGATAACAAATTAAAGACGACAAAACCTAAGGCCGGTGATTTTCCGTCGAGTCTTGAAATAGAATAGATTAGTGAACCCTGTAAATTTTTTACAAAATCATTACAGCGAGCCAGACTTAGGAAACAGGCGTAGTACCCATATTCGAAAAAGGGAGAGAGAGCATCAGCGTCAAATTACCAGCCGATCAGTTTGACGTCAGTAGTGGAAATTTCGAATCAATTATAGCAAATAGCATCCGATCGCATTTAGAGAAAAGCAAATTTTTCATTTCTCAAATGGGTTTACAAAGGGAAAGTCTTGTCTAACATCTGCTGACGTTTTGTAGGAAAGTCTTTGAGGTAGTAGATGACGCACGAAAATTACGATGTTATTTACTTAGACTTTAGCAAAGCATTTGACAGAGTACCGCATCAGAGGCTTCTGAGATAAGTTAAGGCTCATGGTATTGAGGGAAAAATTTTAAATTGGATAAAACAGGCCTTCGATAGAACACGGAGGTCAGCGTAGATGGTGTTAGCAATTTGATAACTGTAACCAGTGGGGTTCCAGGTCAGTAATAGGCCACTCTTTGTTCATAATTTATAAACGATCTAGATCAAAGGATCAGCAGCATCATAAGCAAGGGCAGGATGCAAAATTACTGAGGATATAAATAAACTGCAGGAGTGGTCAGAAAAATGGCAAATTAAATTCAACGTCAGCAAGCAGCACAATATTGGAAGAACAAATACTTATAATGTATACAGCCTTAACAACATCAACCCAGAGGTCGACTTTGAAAGAGACCTAGGGTACTTGTGGCCAGACCACGGCCAATGTTTGAACAACAGAGTATAAGGTTTTATATCTAGAAGTAAGTAATAAGAGTGCAGAGGTCTTATTACAACTATATCTTTGCGCTAGTCAGGCCGCACCTGATTATGTGGTTGCAGTTCTGGTGTCCTTATTATAGAATGAATATCAATTCACTAGAGTCGGTGCAAAGGAAGAATGACGAAAATGATTCCGGGACTTAGAAACCTTCTTTCTTGAAAGACGAAGATTCGGGAGATATGATAGAAGTATTTAGGGGTGAAAGGAAATATAAGGGATACGATAAAGTTCTTATAATATCCGAGTAGGATAGGACTTGTAGCAACGGATTGTTGGATAAATTTAGGTTAGGAGGAGATAGGAAGAACTGGTTCAAATAGGGTGGTGACGAGGAACAAGCTAGCAACTTTGTAGTAAGTGCTGAATGCTGGAAAGCTTAAATGGAGGCTAGATAGATTCACGAATGACAGAGAGTGGTAGTAACTCTCGACAGGAGCTGCCATGCACAGGCCAACCGGCCTTTGCAGACTCCTTATGTTCTATATATATATATATATATATATATATATATATATATAGAAAACATGAGCTTCTGTTAGTTGTAATTGGTGAGACCAGTCCACAATGGTTGGATATTAGATGATCCTACTAATCTATAAATAGCACGGCAACGGTTGGTAGTCAGGTCGAGGTAGGGTGCCCAACCTTCACCTGGTTACAAATCTTCTTAATTACAAAATTGTCCAGTTTGTACATGCCATTACTCAAATTCATCTTGAATGATTCATGTTTAATGAGACTAGATTCTATGACCTGACTACCAACCGTTGTGGTGCTATTTAAAGATTAGTAGGGTCATTATCTGATACATGACCATTGTGGACCTGGTTTCACCTCCTCTGTATATATTTCTTTTAGTCTGTACTCACCCCTGAAGATGAAATTACACGCGCTTGGGAACCTGTGTTCTTTTCTTCCAGGTTAATCATCATATACCTAGATCATGCGCACCTACAGTAATTTTATCAAGATTTATCTTATCCACGTTTTCATTGTGGATTTACATGAAATATATATATATATATATATATAAATCAACGACCTCACCAGCAAGAACGAAACTGGCCTACTGGGTGGACTAGGCAACGCTACCGGCAGCCCACAAGGACACTTAAAGCAGTTTTTAGACTCTGTTATATTTCACACAGCTTGTTCATCGAGCTGATGACGCCGTGAACCTCATTGGGAAAACTGCCCGGTGTTGTATGTGTTGTCAGTATTTTACCGAATCCAGCTGGTATGAAACGCGAGGCACATACATATACTTCATTTTAGTCCATATAACACGGGACTTTGAACATATAATCAACGACCACCAGCAAGGAATCGAACTCGACCTACTGGATTCGGTAAAATGCTACTGACACCACATATGAGAGTACGGGCAGTTTCCCAATGAGGTTCACGGCATCATCAGTTCGATGAACAGGCTGTGTAGTATAACAGAGTCTAGAACTGCTTTTAGTGTCCTTGGGCTAGCCGGTAAGCGTTCCTAGTCCCACCCAGTAGGTCTAGGTTTGATTCCTTGCTGGTGAGAGGTTGTTGATATGTGTTCAAAGTCCGCGTGTTATATGGGATTAAATATATATATATATATATATATATATATATATATATATATATATATATATACTGTATTTTTCTGAGTGAATTCTCACTTATGACCCCGATGTTGCTCAGAGTTTGGTCTGCGGGTACTTGGGCAGTGAGGGCGGCGGAGTTGTTGCAAGCCGTCCCCACGATGAAAGCGAATACCAAACTGCTGCCACCAACACCTGACTCGCGCTGCTTACAATGTGGCGTTTGTTGACACTCTGGGCCAGCAAAGTTCCAATAGCTATGTGGTTGCGCCCATTCTTTTATAAAACTTTTCTGTGTTCCGGTCTTGTGACCTGCCGAAGAAGAAGCATTGGTCGTTTATATTATCGAGGTAATTATATTTGCATCATCAGAAATTAACATTTTCTGGTAATTTTCCTGAATTTGAATCTAACTCATCCGAACCGCCATTGAGGAGTCTCCTCTGAGGAAAACGTAGCAAAAAATTATAGCTTTATCTAAAAATTCGATCCCAGTGCTTAAAGTTTCGATGTTTTCATTATTTTCATTATGTTACGAAAAACTAATTCAAGCTGTATTAGTTTTCAGTTAGTTTAGATTTATGTTTATTCCCAACATAGGACGTGCCCCATACACCGACTCTCGCCCCAGGCGAGAGTCGGTGTCAGGGACGGCAGTCCATGTTGGGGCGTAAATATCTCTAGTTATGCCTGCAGGTATGCCTCACCTGGCCACGAGTGGTGGGTCTGCACCAGCGATATTTATCTGCTAAAAATCTCACAATATTCCAACAGCTTCAAACCAGTCCAGGAGTCCTTATACCTCTCTACCTCGGCCGCTGACTCCTTTTGTGCACAAATACTCTCAAAATAACGCTGAAAACCAGGCCTGACTCACACCACACTTTTTGTTCAGATTCACGCTTTGTGTATTTAGCTTGTATATATATATATATATATATATATATATATATATATATATATATATATATATATATATATATATATATATATATATATATATATATATATATATATATATATATATATATATATATATATATGTATATATATATATATATATATATATATATATATATATATATATATATATATATATATATATATATATATATATATATATATATATATATATATATATATATATGAATAAATCATGTAGGTGCGGTGATCTAGGTATATGCTGATAACACAGGAAAGAAGAAAGAAGTTCCCAAGCCTTTCATTGTAATTCACATCTTCAGGGGTGAGTACAGTCTGTACTTACCCTGAAGAAGTGAATTACACGAAAGCGCTTGGGAACTTCGTGTTTCTTCTTTCCCTTGTGGTTATCAGCATATACTAGATCACACTTACTTTAAGTGACAATTATTAATTTCGACATATTTAAGCACAAAGTGCAACACCTGTAATTAGAGTTGAAAACATCAGAAATCCGAAACGAAATCTAAACGCGTGAATATATTATTGGATATCATGAAACATTTATTGACACAAGAAATCATGCAGTTTTAAGACTTTTATGTACAACAGTGTTTTCTTATAGAAGACCACATGATAATAAAATTAGTGAGTTAGTGTGTATACATTCTTAATCCCTTACCCACCTCTAAATCCAGACACACTATTATTTCATTACTCACACCTACACTCGCACACACACCTGTTACTCCTTCATGTACTGGGCAGTACTCTACATCCAGAGCACTCTTGCTAACTCTCCCACCCTACATCCACACACCCGAACAAAAGCCTTTACTTGATCTTACTGTAGAGGTCAGTTAAACAGTATCCCTCTCCCAAAGCTTACAGCAAACAGCAGGAGAGGCACCACATGAATAGGACCACAAGCACTGACGCCCACACCTCATCTGCGAGAGGATCGTAGAGACTTTGCTACCTGGAGGTGAGCGAAGGGTGTGGCCATTGTGAAGTCAGTAAACACATGCTCGTAGGGGTATGTATAGTCATAAAGTAGTTGACGCTGCGGTAGTACTATATGGTAAACAGTGGCCATGAAGGAGACTCTCTCCATTACTAGTTCTGTGACCTTGAGAAGGAAAGTACATATTTCATATTATTACATGGGATTGGATTATTATTGACCTTAAGTGAACTAAATAAATAAGCTTTACGAAATACAATTTAAAAATAACCATATCTAAAGTTGAGGTTATCATGAAATAATCATTGTCGCAAGGAATCGTCGAAAGACAGAAACATTCATATTTGAGTCATAAGGTGCATTACTGGGAACATAACGAATATCAACCAACCTGGTCCCAAGAAACAGCAGGTAGAACGTGGAAGGTAATGTTGAGGGCGTGGGCGACGGTTTTCAGCAGCATGGCGTCGCTGCCTGAGTACTTGTGCCATCTGAGTCCTTGTTTTTCTCTTCACTCCAGTACGGCCGATATGACAACGCCGTCACGTTTACAGTGGCTCCGAAAAACTGAATAAAATAACATTAGCAAAGAGTTATGCAAATCAATAAGTTTAAAGATGCGCTCTAAAAATAACAGAACATCAAATCAATATAAATACTCTAAGTGTAACAAAATATTACACTCTGAAAAATAATATCCGATACGAGAATATTCTTAAATAGTCGCAGAAAAAGAAGGAAATATACTCGGCAAATATCATTGACAACAAAAGGTTGATGTGTTGTGCCTCTACTCTACAACTCTACTTCTTCAGTTTGGATTTGGAAATGGATGTGAAAATTTCGTCTTTTATCATTTGTTGATGATTGTATATTTGAATGACATGCCTTCTCTTGGACTTTGTGATAGAAGTTTTATTCACTTGAATGAAGGAGAGGAGAGGTTCTGGTCATTCAAAATATACATAGGCCAAGTACTATGGCCTGACCCATATAACCAAAGGAAGGAATTATCAAGGTCGAATATATAACGGAAACAACTTTATACACAGACTTCTTGGCATTGGAAGGTGTGGCGTAATTGTATTTTATTTGTATTTAAACAACAATGTCACAAGTGTTGATTTGTTTCCTCGTGTCTCTGTAAAAAAATATTTATGGAAAATTAAGATCATTATAACTTGATACTTTGTTATTGTTTGGAATATACAGTACATACTTGTCGAACTTCTCAGTGAACATTTGAAGGTGTTTACTCAACACAAACCACGTGTTTTCATCCAAAACGCAGGTTAGTACTATTCTGGATCCTGAGGCAGCATAAGGCAGGTTCTATATACGTTGAATCTTGAGATCAAATTTAGCAACATGGAAAGTAAAAAACCTGTAAATATCAATGTCTACATAATTGTATAGTATACAGTGGAGAGAGAGAGAGAGAGAGAGAGAGAGAGAGAGAGAGAGAGAGTACTGTGATTATTTGATTGATGAAATACATCTGTACCAACTACCAAAATGATTAGTATACAGTACACATATTAAATCGTAGTTTCGTGCAGTACCAGAAGGAATCATAATCATGATATTACTGGGTTGCATAAGAGCATCTTCAAAATAACCAACATGGTGTTCATCATAGAAGTCAATGGGAGGCCATTGGGTCTCACTGCCTCAGGAAGGGGCCGGCGGGTGACGACGAGGAGCCTCGTTGACCACACACCAGGAGGCGGCCCTTGAGGACCGCTCAGCGAAGGCGGCGAGGAAGGCTGGGTCATCGCTCCCACCACCGTCACGCACCATGACACCTGCCGTAGCTGTTGACGTCAACACAGTAGAGGTATGTGAGTGACCAATTCGCCTCAGTAGTAATGTGAGAGTGACCTACCCGACTCAGTAGTAATGTGAGAGTGACCTACCCACCTCAGTAGTAATGTGAGAGTGACCTACCCACCTCAGTAGTAATGTGAGAGTGACCTACCCGCCTCAGTAGTAATGTGAGAGTGATTTACCCGCCTCACTAATAATGTGAGAGTGACCTACCCGCCTCAGAAGTAATGTGAGAGTGACCTACCCGCCTCACTAGTAATGTGAGAGTGACCTACCCGCCTCAGTAGTAATGTGAGTGACCTACCCGCCGAGCCTTGTCGACCACCCGGGAGAGCTGCGCCTGCGTCACGTTAGCGTCCTGGCCGTCCACTGCCACCTCGAACACCGCCACACCCCAGGGAGCCACCAGCTGACATAGATCCTATGAAAAACACAATACCTGAACAGTAAATAGATTGCCCATAAAAAGGTTATTTAGTTCTATTATGAGGAATTTCAGTCAGGGAAAAATGGTCGTGTGAACATTGAAAAAAACAAGAAAGGTAATTGGGAAAAATGCTTACTCTCTTATAGCATTGATTAATTATGTGTTTATACCCCACTTAAAACTCCCACAGATGACGAATGTTCACATATTGTCATTTGAGCAGGGAATATAGAGAAATGAATTAAGGTTCCTCTTAGAAAATTTTGTTTCTTGATTACTTTCTCGAATAAATACGAGAGGAATTACACATATTTGGGGTCGAACAGATAGCGGCGAGCTAACGGAAAATAGCGGATAAAAGAGAAATAATCTGAACAGCTATTTTTCAACAGTTTTCACCACCGAAAATTTCAACATGATACCCGAGCCACCGACTATATACAGAGATAGTGAAGAAAATAGATTGAACGAGATAGAAGTGACTAGTCACTATGTTAATTTACAAATAGACAAACTAAGCCTAACAAGTTAACAGGTCTCGATGAGATATTTACCAGAGTATTGGAAGGATGTAAGGAAGAGCTTAGTATGCAAGGTAATCACTGTAGGTGCGCGTGATCCAGGTATATGATGATAACCACAAGGAAAGAAGAAAACACGAAGTTCCCAAGCGCTTTCGTGTAATTCACATCTTCAGGGGTGAGTACAGACTTAGTAGAAATACACAACAAGGCATATATATACAGTTGAGGAGGGTGATATCAAGTCCACAAAGGTCAGGTCACTAGGTAGTGACCCTACTAATCTTCAAAAGCACCGCAGCAGTTGGTAGTCAGGTTAGAGGGTAAGATGACCCAATCTTCTCACCTGGTTACAAATCTTCTTAATTACGAAATTGTCTAGTTTGTACCACCTCTTCCAGGTAGTAGATAATGACGAAAATTACGATGTTATTTACTTAGACTTTAGCAAAGCATTTGACAGAGTACCGCATCAGAGGCTTCTGAGAAAAAATAAGGCTCATGGTATCGAGGGGAAAGTTTTAAATGGGATAAAATCATGGCTCACCAATAGAAAGCAGAGGGTCAGCGTAGATGGTATTAAATCTGAGTGGGGCTGTGTAACCTGTGGGGTTCCCCAGGGGTCAGTACTAGGCCCACTCTTATTCATAATCTACATAAACGATCTAGATACTGGGATCAGCAGTGACATAAGCAAGTTTGCGGATGACACCAAAATAGGGCGGCAGATAAATTCAGGGCAGGTTGCAAATGCATTACAGGAGGATCTAAATAAACTGCAGAGGTGGTCTGAAAAATGGCAAATGAAATTCAACACCAGCAAGTGCAGCGTACTTAATATTGGAAGAACAAATACTGTCAATGTATACAGCCTTAACAACATCAACCTAGAGAAGTCGACTTGTGAAAGAGACCTAGGGGTACTTGTAAGCCCGGACCTGCGGCCTAGAAAACAGTGCGTTAATGTTCGAAATAAGGCAAGCAGAGTATTGGGTTTTATATCTAGAAGTGTAAGTAATAAGAGTGCAGAGGTCTTATTGCAACTATATCTGACGCTAGTCAGGCCGCACCTCGATTATGCGGTTCAGTTCTGGTGCCCTTATTATAGAATGGATATCAATTGACTAGAGCCGGTGCAGCGAAGAATGACGAAAATGATTCTGGGACTTAGAAACCTTCCATATCAGGATAGGTTAAAGAAACTAAACTTGCATTCCCTAGAAAGACGAAGAGTGCGGGGAGATATGATAGAAGTATTTAAGTGGGTGAAAGGAATCAATAAAGGGGATATAGATAAAGTTCTTATAATATCCGAGCAGGATAGGACTCGGAGCAACGGATTTAAGTTGTATAAGTTTAGGTTTAGGAGGGAGATAGGAAGGAACTGGTTCACAAATAGGGTAGTGGACGAGTGGAACAAGCTTAGCAACTTTGTAGTAAGTGCGGGAACGCTGGAAAGTTTCAAAAGGAGGCTGGATAGATTCATGGATGATAGAGAGTGGTAGTAACTCTCGACAGGAGTTGCCATGTTCTTATATATATATATATATATATATATATATATATATATATATATATATATATATATATATATATATATATATATATATATATATATATATATATATATGTGTGTGTATGGGTAAGTGCCTAGAGAGAAGTTCTTCAGATAATAAAGTAGTAATAAGTCAAAAGTCAGTTAGAGTTGTTAGTAACAAGCAATGAGAAGAATTCAGGAGTGTACTATGCCTTCTGATGAAAGTAGAGAGAAACTTTAGAGTTTAGAGGTTTGACCCACATCGGGGCCTGGGGGGGGTGAAAATGTAATAATAATAATAATAATAATAATAATAATAATAATAATAATAATAATTCATAGTAAATAAAATTTATAATAAGAAATACAAAATTTTAAATAATATTATAAAATAATAATGATACTAAAAATAATAAAAGCACTGTAATAATAATAATAATAATAATAATAATAATAATAATAATAATAATAATAATAATAATAATAATAATAATAATAATAATAATAATAATAATACAAAATTAAAAAAATTCGAAAGTGAGAAACAATATATGTATGTTGTGTTGTCAAAAGTAAGAGAAACAATTGAGACCCTGCAATTGTGTGTAAATGAGGCAGAAAGTCAGATTAGCAACCTGGGACTTGGTCATGATTTTCGTGATGCCATATGGCAGCAGGGTCTACCATTAGACAATACATTATGCTTCCAATACCTTTTCAGGCTATAGTACCTTCCTGTTTGGTAGCTGCCTACTACCTACTAAAAAGCATACATTCATTTTCCAATGTTTCACTACTGGTCCATTGTTTTACATATGGAACTCTTGTTGTTGGTTTTTGTGAGGTCACTTCGGGAAGGAAATTTCCCTCTGTATAATGAAGTTCCTATGCCATGGCAAGTGGTTCTTTGCATTGGATTATACGCATTACTCAAAATGGCTACCGATGTACTTAAGAGACATCACTTCATTACATTATACACACCCAACCATAGCAGAAGAATTCAACCATGGGGCATATTGTCGTAAGCATAACCTAGAATAGGTTTTCTAAGATTCCCACAGACCACCATGCTCATGAACAAAACAACGCTTCAGCCAAGGGAAGGACGAGTTGTTGGTCTTACAGAAAACCAAGGACAGTAGGTGGTCCAGAGGTATCACGCTTTATCCATGAATTTGAATCAGCACTGGACTCTGGGAACTACTTGCATCCTGGGAGAGAAAACCGTCCAGAACACCACGAGCAGAAGAAAGGTCACCTGTCAGCATTGCTGATTTAATTAGTTTCCACAACAAGGATATTGCAGATAAGTCAGTCAAAAGGACAGTAGCTACAGTAGAACAGATTAGCACATCTCTCTACAAGTCCTTCGTCAGAGAAAGACTTGATGAATGCTACAGTATGTGCCTCTATCTGATCCCACCAGGAGAAATAGATTACCCCTGATTTCTTGCCCATTAAGAGGCTAACAGCTAAGTCGCGTATGCAAATTGCCAATCTCAAGAGTGAATGTAATCTCTTTTCAAGATTTTACATTGCATGCCAGACACGAGATGGCAATTTAGAAGATTTTTCGTGCACGAGAACCAGCTGTGTGCACCTTCAATATTTCATCAAGGAAACCTAAGACCATGTGCAAAAGCCGAAATGTTGCAATGCCTGGAAGATTTAGCCCCTGCCGACTGTGGAGTCTCCTTCTACTGATGCCATAATTATTGATGGAGCTGCAATTGTGATAATGCTCAAACCAGTCACCGCTAGAACATCTAGCACATATGCAGCTGAATGTGTTCATACCATATATCCAGAGGCAACTACAACATGTTTACCAGAGACTGGACATCATTTGGGATGTTTACCAAAGGGATTCAATGAAAGCCGCCACACGAGAGAAGCGTGGGACAGGAGTAAGAAGAAGAGTGGATTCCAACACTCCAGTTCCTGAAAACTGGCAACGATAACTCCATCATGAAGCGAAAAACACTGAACTTTTTATTTTCTTGACAAATAATCACCACACGAGAGGAGAGAGTTCTGTGTTCTAAGCCCCTTAACACGTCAGTATTGCAGTGCTTTCTGCATGAGGAGGTTGACAGTAAGAAGATTCTGCCCATGTAGTAGCTGTCAACCGACTGAACATCCGAGAAGTGTGGATAGCATTTGGAGTACTAAAGCACTACCGTTTCCTTGCAGTAAATGAAATAGCCACAGCTCTTGGGCCTGATAGGTCGCAGTGCCTTCCCTTCTTCCACAGCTTTACAGGCCGTGACACTCATCTTTCAGTGGTATCGGGAAGAAGACTTCTTGGAATGTGGGCAAACTTATGATAATGCAATAGATGGCTTCAAATCTCTTTCACTCATACCTGAGGATATTTCATCTGCAGATCTAGCTATAACAAAACGATTCGCTATGCTCATGTACGACAGAACCAATGACCAGTTAACTGTTATGGTGCTAGACGACAACTATTCACTAGGAAAGGCAGAGCCATTGCCAACATTATCCAACCAAATCAGCATTGTTACGACATACCAAGAGTGCAGCATATCAAATAGGACATATCTGGGTTCAGTGTTTCCTTCTCTCACCAAAACTACCTGAACCAAGCGACTGGGAGTGGGTGAAGAACTCCAAAGGAGTATGGGAACCTCTGTGGTCCAACCTTCCTAAAGCTGCAAAATCTTGCCGTGAACTGCTTCATTGTGTGTGAATCAAGGTGGTGCACAGGCTGCTCTCAAGTGCACAACCCAGTACAAGTACTCTGTACATTGCGAGAACGAATAGCCTACACACCACGCTGAAAACAGTTGTTGTGCTCGAACTGTTTTAGATTTGTTTTAGACCATTTTGTCTTTCCCATAAAGCCAGTAATTCTATCAAGAGTTAATTTGACGCTGTGTGCTATTTTACCCGTAAAAATCAGTAATATCGTTAATTAATGAAAGATTTATACTGAGTTGCCTATTTCTCTCACTTATTCTGCCTCATATTAGTAATTGGATATTTGGGATGCATACAGTTACCAATATTTATTCTTCAAATAAGCCCAGGTCATGTTGATTTTTTTTAAGAAATTACTTTTTGTGGTATATTTTGATGTGGTCTCCATATCCATATTTGTTTTGTAAGTGACGAACTCCCATTCTCTCAATACATAATGTATGTAGCGAGATGTGTATTTATGCTAATTACCGATATAACCTCTTCATCTAAACCCAATCACAAAGTTCAAGAGCTTAATACTTTCAATGCACTTAATAAAGGACTACATTTATCTTCTTTGCGATTTCCACACCAAAAACACAGAGGAGGGCATAATACACCTATGGCACCTTTCATTATATCGTAGATAAATGGAAATAAGGAGAAAGAGGTATAACTTACCCCGGAATCAGAGAAGTGGGAGTTCCTGTCATCAGTGAGGAGGATGATGGAGTTGCGAGGTTTTGAAGTAGGTTCAAGTACCACGGAAGCTGCCTGGTAGGGATTAAGTAACTCTCCACTTCCTTCTGGATTCAAAAAGACAATTATAGAATATGCTATTTAATTAACTGTCTGGTTGAATTTTTCTACTAACACTCAACTTGGTAATGCAGACCCTAAGCATAGTAACACATTAAACACATAGTACAACATAATGCATTACACCGGCTTTACTCGGGTGTTTCACAATCATGACTTTCCATCCCTGGTCCTTTATAGGAGTAGTGGTGAATAATGAGTGAATTTGCTTCAAGTACACATGGCCCTTATTCGCACTGTTTTCAAACGTACCTGAAATAAAGTCACGCCCTTGTATGTGGGACTTCCAGGAGTTAACATGTAAGACAAAAACAAAGTAAACCCCTTCACCTTGGGGACGCCACTTTTAATATTTTATTTAGCTAACGGCAAACGATTTTATTCAGCACAAAGAGGATCCTGTGCACAAGTGGTTAGTAGACTATCTCCCCTTATTACATTATCAAGAGAAGTCTGAAAATTCCCTGCATAAGAAACCGCTGGTCTATATAAATGAAAATAAGCATCTAGATGTAGTAATGCTAAACCCAAGAAGTTGGTGCTGGACTTCACCTATGCATCCACCTTGGAACCAACTTATCGAAACCTAATACAGCTGGAGCGGGAAGAACAGTGGTCTTTGGGGAAAGTACAGGAACCCTAGCCACGATTGTTGGTTGCTTCGTTACAATAGGATAAGAGACTCGTGGAGACTGTGGAACCAATGGCCTGAGGTTCCTCAGTGGGTTTGGTTCCTTGAATATTGAAACTCTCCAAAACTACAGAGCATCGAGCTACTTGTGCCACTGTCTCAGCATAATCACCCAGAGAGAGAGTGTTTGCTACACATTAGGAACTCGTCTCTTACCTGAGGAGCACGAGAGAGTCTTTTAAACGTGATTTGTGAGACTTGTGACTGTGTATACAAACGGATGCAAACGGAAATAAATAAGAAGTTTTTGCCGAATTGGGATGACTTTTTGTTTTATTGCTATAACTTAGGGAATTTAATTCGTATATGGTTAAATTGGCTCTGTTTAATATAGGGCGTCGTTTTCTGTTTTAATGTAGCAAAATTATACGAAAAGTGGGTTCGATAAAGTTAGGTAGGTTATAACATAAGAACATAAGAATGGAGGAAACTGCAGCGGGCCTATTGGCCCATACTGGGCAGTCCCGTTTACACCCAACCCCAATTGCTCATATATGCATCCAACCTATGTTTGAAGCTATTCAGCGTATTCGAGTTAATGATAATATTTGGTAACTTGTTCCATTCATCCACTACTCTGTTTCTAAACCAGTGTTTACCTATTTCCCGCCTAAATCTAAATTTGTCTAATTTAAAACCATTGTTACGAGTTCGCTCCTGGTTGGATAGTTTGATTACCTTTGTAATGTCCCCTTTGTTTAGCCCTGCCTTCCACTTATACATCTCTATCAGGTCGCCCCTCGCTCTACGTCTCTCAAGGGAGTGCAAATTAAGATGCTTTAACCTGTCTCTATACTCAAGGTTCCTAATGCCCGGGATTAGTCTTGTCATTCTCCTCTGAATTCTTTCCAAGGATTCTATATCCATTCTGTAATACGGTGACCAGAATTGAACTGCGTAATCCAGGTGTGGTCTCACAAGAGCAAGATACAGTTTTAGGATGACCTCGCTAGTCTTGTAACTAACACTCCTTTGTATGAACCCAAGTACTTTATTAGCCTTGTTACGAGCAAAAACACATTGTTTACTTGGCTTAAGGTTCCTACTTATCATTACTCCTAAATCTCTCTCGCAGTCGGATTTCTCTATGGCATCGTTGTTACATAAGGCCTGTGTGAAACTATTTATTTATATGTATTTTTATGATCTACGTGATCGCTTATGGCCAGTCAGAAGCTCCAAAGAAGATAAATACATAGATGTTATCGCTAAATTAGTGATATAATCTACTAACCTGTAAACGAAGGTAAGGCGCCAGCAGCCTTTTGACATGGTAACAAGAGCGTCAGCGCCATCACCACTATGTCCAGGCTCATCATCCTTGATACCTCCTGTGCAGCTTCAACCTGACAGTAGACGTAAAAAAATCTTATTCTTTATTAATATACAGCAGATGTTGACTACTACCAAACCTAACAATTATGGTACCAACACTACAAATAATTAAATAATATTATCAATAAGGAATTATATACTGTAAAGAAGAAGAAAACAGTAATATTAGATGAAAACTATTTCAGTGCACACGAGCGATACTTATAAACTAATGCACAAAAATTCCTCAATTATGTAGTTCCAATCCTCTTTCTATTGATTTCGTTGATAACGTCACTACTCTTCATTTCAGCTATGACTTCTCTTGTAATATATACCCCGTCCATATCTTTTACATCCTCTTGTTAAGGTATTTTACGCTTCCAACCATCCTGTTTTATGTTATGTGTGATTATTTTCTATATATCATTAGGCTAGTTTGTCTACTCCTTCTCAAGACTTATGCCTAGCAAGTTTCATACATTTTCGTTTTACTGTTTTAAACTTCCTGCAATTTACTGATGTTAAGGCTCTCTCTCTCTGGCAGTTCATTTTATTGTATTTTACCCTTCTTAAATCTGTTCCTTAAAAATAAGAATGTTTACACCTCAGTCGCCTTGCTAACCTGCAGTCATACTACTCTTAGTCTCAGGTGTACCGTAATTTATTTTCCTGTGTTGTATCTGCACTACCCTTAGCTCCCTGTCGTTTAGCCAGTGTGACTGTTTTACTTTACACATTTAATTGAAAACTTATATATGATAATTACGTTTTATACAATCTTCCTTTAAATGAACCGAATGCATTCAATCACACAAGTAGAAGGTCTTGGACATGGACTATCTGATTCACTTTGCTGTTCACATGTTCATTGTGAATTAAACCTATTTTAGGAAATATTTTTCTGAGCCCTTAGTATTTGCAAATTATTTACAGAACAGGAAATTCTTGTGATTTATACAATGTGTGGTCATGAGTATGCAACATCCTGAGCCTGAGTATGATGAGAAGTTTATAGTACCATTGCATGAGGCAGAAAGGGAACTTGAAATACTACACTCCATATCCATGAATTCTACTTTCATTTTTTTCTTTTCACTTAATTAGTTATCTATTGTATGCTTCACTATATTGGTATGATGATAATACAAACACTTAACTCTGGACTTTTAAAATTCAACAAAAGTAAACGAATATTAGTATAAGCAATGATCAGTCAGGTTTTAAAACAAATATGTGACCAAAACTTTATTGGAACTCTTACAATTCAGTTTTCTTATCCTTTGTTTTACACAGCAGTACTTTGTTCAGCTCACCCTTGGCTTGAGAGGTAAGGGATTATATACAAGCAATTTGTTTGTATGTGTAAGTAATTAACTGTAGTACATTCAGTTTCAGACCCTTGGAGGTTAATAAAGTTAACATTGTCCTTGCCCTTAAACACACAAATTCATCCTTTTTTTTTCATAAAAAAAAATATTTGTTTTCCACAAATTGTATGTTCAATGCATTTCTGCTGTCAATTACCCTATGTCAAAATCGTTTCCTACAATCCTTCTCATGTTTTTTTTGTGCGTATACTATAACTACATACTAGTCAACGACAATCCCGCCTCTGTGTGTGTGTGTGCTTAATTATTTTTCACTACCCACTAACTGTAGGTGCGCGTGATCCAGATATATGCTGATAACCACAAGGAAAAAAGAAAGAAAACACGAAGTTCCCAAGCGCTTTCGTGTAAATCACATCTTCAGGGGTGAGTACAAACTAAGTAGAAGTTCAGAACAAGTTATATATATATATATATATATATATATATATATACAGAGAGCCATGTGGCACGGTCGTGTTGTACCTCCACCCCTTCTCTTATCAGGAACGCCCTTGGACTGGGATAAAGAGACAAAATACCTGGGTGTGTATGTAACTCGTACACGTTGTCAGATCCCTGAAGTCCGCTATCTTCGAGACATATGCTTTTGGCGTATCGCTCCCCTCTCTACCATGTGCAGGGGTTCCCTTGGTGCCACCATCCCTGTACTTCTCACCATGTACAAGTCCTTTGTCCGTTCCTGTGTCGACTACGCCGCCCCTGCCCTCGTCAACATTAGTCGGACTGCTGTCAACCGTCTCGAAGTTACCCAGAGGAAAGCTGCTCGTATCATCCTTGGGGCTCCTCAGTGGACACGCTCTACATCTCTATATACCGAACTTGGTCTTTCCCCCCTTACAGGATCGTGTCCAGGAGTTTTACCTAAAAACTGCCGTTTCCATTCTACTGGATCCTCGGGTGCAACTATGTCCAAACCAACTTGACTCCTGCTGTCCGAGACCGACCTCCATCTAGAAGACAGTGGTGAGGGTCACTCATCCGAGCCCTTCAGGAACACGACCTCCTGCCTGATATTGTTGTCACCCCTGCTGTTGGTTCGTCTCCTTCTCCCTGGCTGGATTTTCAACCTGAAGTGATTGCCCTCGGTGGACCGCTCCCGACATCCCAGGTGAACCCTGTTATTCTCTGCAAATACCACCTCTCCAGGATCGCCCACTGGTCCCCAGGTAGGGTCGTCCTCTACACTGATGGTTCTGTTGATCCCGCTACAGGTCGGGCCGGGGCTGGTGTCTACATCTCCCGTCCTGATGCCCCTGAGCCTATCAAACTGTCTCTCAGAGTTTCTGACGGGGCATCCTCCACTCAGGCTGAACTAATAGCCCTCCTTGCTGCCCTTCTCGCTGAGGAAGAAGCAGATGGTTTCTGCCCCTTGCTTGTCTGCTGCGATTCCAGGTCTGCTCTCGACAGGATCGCATTTGGATCAGGGGAAATAAGGACCTCATCCTCGGAATACGAGGGTTAACATCCACACTTCAGGATGCAGGCCGTCCCGTGACATTCCTATGGATACCCAGTCATGTCAGTATCTTGGGGAATGAGGCAGCAGATGGCCTTGCCAAGACTGGCTGCAACAAGGCCACACCTGACTACGTTGTTCCTCGAACACTCTTACAGATTAGGACCCAAATTCGCCGCAAACAGAGAGAAGCTCGGGAAGCAGCCATCCCCCTGGACTCCCCGCCCACCTGGTACGATGTCCTCCGTAAATTTCCTGACCTCTCGTAAATCTACGGGAAAGGGTCGCGGAAAGGGGACGTGATTGCTGCCCGTATCATCATTGGGTATGACTTTGCTTGGGAGATTGGTATCCCCGCATCCCCTGAGCAACGCGCTTGTGCATTATGCAGAAGACCCGACAGCAGCACCCTTATCCACTACCTCCTAAGATGTCCCCACACACAACGCTTCCGTGACGCCTGATTCAGATTCAGATTTGCCCCCGAGGGGGCTAGTTTATTGGGCACCCCCTTACATCCTGTGCAAGGTGAAGCGCAGAAGCGTTTACAGCACCCAACAGGGAAGTATGAAAAGTTCATACTTGCCTTTATGACTCGTACATTAAGGGCGTAAAAGCCTGAAGGGTCATAAGTTTTGTCAAGTTACATAAAGTGAGAGAATGATGAGTGTGTGGGGGGAAAGTTCCCGGTACATTTTATCTGTTTATGGCAAAGAGTGGCAGGTCCCTAATAATGTCAAATGCCAGGCCTGTGACTCGGAGCCGTGACGCCTGCTGGACCACTACCCCACGACCCCCTGACGGAGACACGATGATCCTCCCCATACTGGCCAGATATTTTGTAAATAATATTGATTATGTGTTAAAGGAATATCCTTCCTTCCTTAGGCTTTAGTAAGCCCCTTTATAATATTTATACTGTATATACTTGTCACACTTGCCAGATGCTTCTGGTGTCATTGTACAGGGGTACCTAGTGACAGCACTAGGATCCCGCTTCCTCAATCAAGGAATAAACAATTGAAATTGAAATTGAAATATGCAGAGGAGGGTGAGGTCAAGTATAGGTAATGACCCTACTAATCTTCACAAAAGCACGGCAGTGGTCGGTAGTCAGGTCAGATGGAGAAACTGACCCAACCTTCTCACTTGGTTACAAATCTTCTTAATTATAAAATTGTCCAATTTGTACATACCATTACTCAAATTCATGTTAACGGATTCGGTATGTTTAATGAGACTAGATTCTATAATGTTCCTACTGTCAATTGAATTACAAGGTAATATTGAGGAGGCATTATCTCAGTCAATGCAATGTTTATTATCCCTCAGATGAACAAACAGAGCATTGGATTCCTGGCCTGTCCTAACACTGTATTTATGTTGTTTAAGTCTAGTTACAAGATCTTTTACCTGTCTGGCCTAAGTAAAACATATTACATTCCTTGCAAGGAACCTTATAAATGCATCCATTTCTTTCTTTTTTCCTTGTGGTTATCAGCATATATATATATATATATATATATATATATATATATATATATATATATATATATATATATATATATATATATATATATATATATATATATATATATATATATATATATATATATACATCTTTTTTTTCCCGCAAAATTCCGCTTTCATTTTTTTCATTTAACATTATTGTTCCAATAGAAAGTAAGTTAACGAGTTCTTCCGTCTTATTATGGCTCAGATCTTGCTGTTACTCGTGGTACGTTCCCTCCGTGCCCTTGTTGAGTAAATATCTATTATGGTTGGCTCATTATTCAAAATATTTATTGTTTAATAATTAACTGTTTTTTTAAATTTTCTTAGATGATTCACCTTTACTCTACAAATAAAAGACCTCCCAAACTACTCCTTGAAAATCTTGTTGATGTTTTTTTATAACAGCTGTTATTAATGTTTCCTCGGTGCCTGTGTCCAGAACACTAAACAAATATTATCTTATGAAGAATATACCTTTGTAAATCAAATGAAGTTAGGATATATTTTACGCTTATTTCTAAAGAAATTTATTTTGTATCATCTTCTGTTGAATTGAATGGTTTAGCTATTCCAGTTCCTATTATTTTAAATATTTATATTATTGCCACTTATACAACAACTGCCAATTGTGAAAGTTACTTCTTATGAGGTAGTGTTAGAACCCGTGGCAATTATGTTAGTGTTGTTCACTGCCCCAGAAGTAAGGGTCTTCTACCGAACCATTGCAGTAAGGATGATGAGAGTCAAATACACAAGCAGATAAAGTGAGGGGCTGAGTTGGTGTAGAAGACGAAATTGTTGTATTATGTCCCCAGGAGGTCGGTAGAGGCTCTCCATGGTACGGCCTTGCTTGTATTGTACCTTCTCTCTGCCATCGACGGATCCACCTATAGACTGTCGTGATGCTGATCCCAATCTCCTGTGATATTTTTCTTGCTGACATGCCACTGATCCACAGACAGACAATTTTGCCACGGTAAGCTGTCACAAAAGGAGAACATGTAGGTCGCTTCTCCATTATGGTGTTTCTGTCAAATAGGATTATTATATATTGTTTCACCCCTCATGTGATTCATCGGGCATTCTATGAACACAAAATACAATATGGTTTCCCCTACGTAATGTGTGCTTATGTTACAGTAAATAGGGTTAATAGCCTTTTTTTGGAAACCGGGTAAATTATGATATATACGAATAAATTTTTACTAAGTTATAGCAATAAAAGCCAATAGTTATTCCTATTTGGCAAAAGCGTCGGTTGCTTTATAGGGTTGAAGGTTTAATCGGCGATATATATATATATATATATATATATATATATATATATATATATATATATATATATATATATATATATATATATATATATATATATATATATATATATATATATATATATATATATATATATATATATATATATATATAAAGTAAATCACTAGGTGAAAGAAATGATTAAGTTCCCTAAGCGCTGTAATTCTACACGAAAGCGCTTTGGGAATCCCCTGTGTTTTCTTTCTTTCCTTTGTATCATATATATATATATATATATATATATATATATATATATATATATATATATATATATATATATATATATATATATATATATATATATATACTTAATTACAAACTCAACGAAGAAACCAACTAATACGAGTAAAACCTATATTACATTTTTTCTTCCATTCAATGTTACCACAATTCGTAAGTTTACCTCAGAGACAGTCCTAATAGCGACGCGGTTCTTGATATGGCGACACGAGGTAACTGTACTCACCTTGTGACGGTCAGGCATAGTTATAAACTAGTCACCTGGGTCGCGCAGAATCCCTTCGGGAGTACTGACGTCATGGTAAAGGTAAATTGTGATTGGACGATAGTATTTATAAGTGGTACTACAGTAAATTGTGTGACCTGTTCATGAATAATATATTTAGCATTAAACGACTTACTCCTACCCATGTACTGACACACGTTTAGTCAGGCAAACACAATGGATTCCACCACATGTCACTATAACAATATTAGTATTACAAAATGTCGGAATCCGTATAGCTTCGTTGCAACAACACATGAAAGATGTTAAGGTAATGATAGTGAGGTTGGAGTGAAAAAGCCGTAGATATATATTTATATATACAGTATATGAGTAAAATTTCACAAATCTACGGCTTTTTCACTCCAACCTCACTATCATATATAAGAACATAAGAATGGAGGAAACTGCAGCGGGCCTATTGGCCCATACTGGGCAGTCCCGTTTACACCCAACCCCTATTGCTCATAGAAGCATCCAACCTATGTTTGAAGCAGTTCAGCGTATTCGAGTTAATGATGATATTTGGTAACTTGTTTCATTCATCCACTACTCTGTTTCCAAACCAGTGTTTACCTATTTCACGCCTAAATCTAAATTTGTCTAATTTAAAACCATTGTTACGAGTTCGCTCCTAGTTGGATAATTTGAGTACCTTTGTAATGTCCCCTTTGTTTAGCCCTGCCTTCCACTTATACACCTCTATCAGGTCGCCCCTCGCCTATTGCGGTCTCAAGGAGTGCAACAGATGTTTTAACCTGTCTCTATACCTTCAAGGTTCCTAATGCCCGATTAGTCTTTGTCATTCTCCTCTGAATTCCTTTCCCAAGGATTCTATATCCAGTCTGTAATACTAGACCAGAACTGAACTGCATAACCAGGTGTGGTCTCACAAGAGCAAGATACAGTTTTAGGATGACCTCGCTAGTCTTGTAACTAACACTCTTTTGTATGAACCCAAGTACTTTATTAGCCTTGTTACGAGCAAAAACACATTGTTTACTTGGCTTAAGGTTCCTACTTATCATTACTCCTAAATCTCTCTCGCAGTCGGATTTCTCTATGGCATCGTTGTTCATCTGGTATCTGCTTTCCCTGTTTACATCTCCTATACTGAGTACTCACCCCTTAAGATGTGAATTACACGAAAGTGCTTAGGAACTTGATGTTTTTCTTTAACAATAACCAACACGTTTCGGCACAATGTTGGATGAAAGCCTTACCTCCATTGTTACTTAATGCTTTTGTTTAATCCATTTTGGCCATCCATTGAGCACTTTCAAACTCTCCCGTTCCTAATTTCACTAAATTTGTTTTTTGTGCATGTGTATTTTTTTGCCTCAGAAAGTGAGGCACAGGATAAAATACAGGGGCAATAATGATTTGTATTCCCATTATTTGATTGCACACGTAGTTAATCGTCATGTCCAAAACATACTTTTCTCAGACTTTTTAACATCAAGCTTATCCATACAGTGGCGAAGAAATTTAGGGAAAAAAGCACCATCTCCTTTTTCTTGAGTTTGAATGAACAATTTGCAGTAATTCAAAGACAAGCTCAGTTTCTCATTTGTGTATTTCCTTTTGGCCCCAGATGACATCATTGTCAGCTTCTCTACCAAAAAATTACTCCCAGCAACAAGTCCCAGCAGGAGGGCAGAGCCCCTGCATGTGTACGATGGTGAGGGCTTTGATGCTGTCGTCTCTAGACTCTGCTTCTATAATCAAGTTTTTCCTTTGTAGCTTCTCCCTCAGTTTCTCTCGCTGTCTTGTACGACTCTCGCGCTCAGCGTCAAGCAGCACCTCATCCTCCAATGTTCGTATAGGCCAGCCTGCAAGGTAATATCTAGCTAGATTTCGTTTATGTGGATATGTAAAATGCAAGGGCTCCATCACTGGCCTTACTTGTACACACCCTTGCAGTTACAGCTATTATAATGTTTTTTTCTTCATCTCCTAGATCATTAAAATCAATGAACACAATGGTGCAAAATCCGATATTACATGTATAGTTGCCTCCACATAAAGGTACAGTACTACAGCCTGGAAGTGTGTGAGGGCTCGGGCACCACAGCACCGTAGTCAGGACTGTACACTGTACAGTATAACCGGTAATGGAACAGTGAAATTATCCGTTTTGTGTGGCCACACATCAATGCTGAAGAACACTTATGCCATGGATGATCTATTTGTTTTTGATATTATCATTTTTATATTTCTTCGGATATTTATAAATATCTTTTACTATTTTCATTGTGTTATGATAACAAGGTCTAAGTGACTATCTGTGTTGGTTGAGAATTAGTTGTTAGACACCCAGTCTACTTTAGTTTAAAAGGTTTGTGACAACTGAAACATACTGTACGAGTTTAAACAACAAAGCTGAGAGCATATCAATAATTTCTTTGTAGTACAACACCATGTCTCCTTGACAGCGCTACACTGCACCCACACACTATCCGCGGTAGAGACATAAAACATCCGTATATTAATGACGTGTACATCTAATTATGAACTGAGAGATGGATGTACCTAGTAACCACAAATACCATGGAAATTTGGCGCTCACTAGCACCATGGGGATTTCTGGCTTCTCAGAGTTTAACCTTTTATTTCACTCATTGCACCAGGGCAAGCTCACTCTCCATTACTTTATAGGAGGGGATGAGCGACATCCACTAATCCGAAAGCACCTAAGACGAATGCTAAGGTGATCCTGTTCCCTTTTCCCTGTGATTTTATCAAGATGTGGATATACCTGAAAAAAAATTATATATATATATATATATATATATATATATATATATATATATATATATATATATATATATATATATATATATATATATATATATATATATATATATATATATATATATATATATATATATATATATATATATATATAAGTAAATCACTGAGTGCGCGTGATCAGGTATATGCTGATAACCACAAGGAAAAAGAAAACACGAAGTTCCAAGCGCTTTCGTGTAATTCACATCTTCAGGGTGATACAGACTAAAGTAGAAGTGCAGAACAAGTTATATATACAGAGGAGGGTGAGATCAAGTCCACAGAGGTCAAGTATAGGTGACCCTACAAATCTTCACAAAAGCACTACAGTGGTCGGTAGTCAGGTCAGAGGGAAAACTGGCCCAACCTTCTCACCTGGTTACAAATCTTCTTAATTACAAAATTGTCCAATTTGTACATACCGTTACTCAAATTCATGTTAAATGATTCGGTATGTTTAATGAGACTAGATTCTATAATGTTCCTACTGTCATTTGAATTACAAGGTAACATTGAGGAGGCATAACCCCAGTCAATGCAATGTTTATTATCCCTCAAATGAACAAACAGAGCATTGGATTCCTGGCCTGTCCTAACACTATATTTATGTTGTTTAAGTCTAGTTACAAGATCTTTACCTGTCTGGCCTAAGTAAAACATATTACATTCCTTGCAAGGGACTTTATAAATGCAGCCATTTGTATTGTTGGGGGGAGTTCTTGATTAACATTTGTGGACTTGATCTCACCCTCCTCTGTATATATATATATATAACTTGTTCTGCACTTCTATTTTAGTCTGTACTCACCCCTGAAGATGTGAATTACACGAAAGCGCTTGGGAACTTCGTGTTTTCTTTTTCCTTGTGGTTATAAGCATATATATATAAAATATACATATATATATATATATATATATATATATATATATATATATATATATATATATATATATATATATATATATATATATATATATATATATATATATATATATGTTCAACTGCCTTTAGTGTCCTTGTGGCATGGTCGGTAACGTTCCCTGGTCCCACACAGAAGGACGAGGGTTCGAGTCCTGCCTGGTGAGGTTGTTGATTATATGTTCAAAGTCAGCGTGTTATATGGACTAAAAATGAAGTATAAATGGTACCTCGTGTTTCATACCAGCTGGATTCGGTAAAATGCTACTGACATCCACATAAGTGGCACGGGCAGTTGCCAGTGGGAGGTTCACGGCGCCATCGGCTCGATGAACAGGCTTTGTGTGAAATATATCATAGTCTAGAGCTGCTTTTAGTGTCCTTGTGGCATGGTCGGTAACGTTCCCTGGTCCCACACAGAAGGTCGAGGGTTCGAGTCCTGGCTGGTGAGGTTGTTGATTATATATATATATATATATATATATATATATATATATATATATATATATATATATATATATATATATATACCAAATCACTACAGTTGAATCGCCCACTGTGGCAGCTTTGGTGCTTTCATCCAACGTTAAGACTTTCCCTTGGTCACCTCGGTAACATAACTAGCTCATTTGTATTTTTAACTCACCTCCGTGATGGCCATTATGTAGTGGTCTAGTTTAGGTTTGTATGGGGCGTCGTGGGGAATCGGCCATGACGAAGTTGCGGGAATAATCATCTCCCGTCCAACATAGAGCGGAGCAGAGCCATCTATCTTCGAAAAGTGTTGTGCAATCATAAGTTCAAGGTACTGACGGCTACCTAAATGAGAGCTCCTATAATGAAAGAAAAAACAAAAATAAATAGGAAGATAGATGTATGATGTGAGATATTTCAGATTGTTGTTGGGAATACAAAACTGAAAATCCTTCAAATATCTTCAAATAATATCTTAAATTTAGATCTAACTGAAAAAAAGTAAATAAAAATAGACATAAATATTCCTCCATGATTATGTCCTGCTAATGGATAATAATTTTGAATTTCTTTATTAACCAAACTGGAACACTGGACTCACTTAATCTTCAGAGCGTCATTGTATCCGTCAATAACATCGACTCCAACGACCATCAGCTTCCCCAAGGCACTGAAGACCTTTGAGTCCGATTTGGTAAAGAAGCGCTTATACGAGATTCCATAAGGTTCTATAGTAGCCCTAAAATGTAACAACACAAACAAAATATCCTTATTAAGACTCACACCACGTTTCAGCATCAAATTAGTTAAATTCATTATGTTCCATAGTTTTCCCTGATCATTCGATCAATTGAACAGCCAAAGAATTCCACTAAAACAACATCAATTAAGTACTATAACTCTTTTAACGGCTATAACGAGTACTGTATTACTATTAATGCAGCAGATAACTATTCTTTGGAAACCAATCGTGCATTTTTTCATAAAAGCACTAAACTTAACACACCTAAAGAACTCATCAAGGCGAAAAAATTTAGACCCAGAGGCATCTCAGATTTTACCCAGGAAGCCTATAGTCGCCATTTTCAAAGATGGCGGCCACTAAAATCTGTTTGTCAGTAGCTCAGTAACCAGAGCACGTAGAACTTATATTTTCGGATGTACACCTAGGTTTTGGGGGCAAGAAATTAGATTTTAGCATTTTTTAAGTGATTTGGTCTTCAGAACCGCCATTTTTAAAGATGGCGGCTATAAAAACACTACATGGCCTATTATATTGTATGATATAGACAATACATAAAATACAATATTTTTAATACATTACATTTACATTAATTTAGTTACAAATCAATTACAGTTTTCATCATATTTGCACAACTCAGTGCACGACAGGTTTTCTCATGCACTTTCAGGTGGTCTCTTTCACCTTCTCCAGTCACACTTGAGGAGTTCTCTGCACGCTTTGGATGCTTGCAGCAGGCTGGTCCAGAAAGGCTGCCAATTTCTGTCGATCACTTTCCACCCCCACCTTCTGGAGAGGACACCACGGCGTTGATCAGATTTGATGGTGCCCAGACGTGCTCACCTTGATAAGCGTGGCACGCCTTGCATGCTGCAGGAGTGCGTCTAGCGTTGATCTGACGGCCTTGGGTGAACAGTTTTCTGCGAGCTCCATTCACGTCACTGATCTCGCTTGTTCTGCTGTACATAAGCACAATGAACCTATCGATGGTGTCCATTTACTCCTCAACTTCAGCAAGCGATGGGCTGGCCAAAGAGCCTGTTGAATGCAACAGTTGCCTCAGGATACGCGTTCCAGGTGTCCCACGCAATCATTTATCCTCTGCCTTTAAAGCTGCTTACAGTGCCGCAGCCCGTGAACGCATGGAAAAACAGTAAGGCCAGGGATTTCTGTGGACCAAGGGTCGCAGCGATTTCGTGAGCTGGAATATACCTAAAGTTATTGCCTGTTGAGAAGGAGTCCCACAGACTGTCAAGTGATCGTGGCAGAAGAGTGATGGTTGCCACAGCCAGCACACGAACGTCGTTGTCCACTGTGCGGACGATGACGCCTTTGTGACTACAATTTGCTGCATCAGCGACTTGGAACATCAACCTGCTGTCGGTTTCTTCGTGGTCGCAGGGTGACAAGGCCGCGACCTCTCGATCTTGACTCACCATCACAGAGTCGCGCAGCGTGCTGATCACTTGCTTGCTGGTCGACAGGTATAACTTGACATCATCCAAGAACTTGAACAGCTTAATCTTATTATCGTCATACCTCAAGAAGGCACTCTAGTTTTTTTAGACTCCAGTGATGGCCCCCAAACGCCACCGGACACTCATCCCCCTACTCTGCCGTGCTATTAATTTCAGACTTTGGGCTGTGTACACATCCCACACCAGATCAACACGTGATTTGCTGCCCAGTTGTGTCTTGATGTGTGCCGCAAACTCTTGCTCTTAATACTCTCCACATGTTTTAGAAATGCACGGCTTCAACATGATGATCACTGCAGCTCCATCGATAACCAGAACGTCTGCAGTTGGTGAGACTGGAGTATCTTCTGACGGCGGCAAAATTTTCTCCAGGCAGGCCGTTACGTGCGACTTTGTTCCGCCCCGCAGCTGACCATTGTCTGACAGTGAAGAAGGTCACGCTTGGCTTTTGTGAGCCAAAAATTCACCCAGATTACTACCCCCCACCGTGCTTCAGTGCTGCAACTTCCAAGTTGACTTTTTGTGTTTTTGTTCTCGAAGACACGACCAGAAGAAGGTTGTTCCTTGAGATTGTTTCTCCAACTGGCATGCTGCAGTTGACATGTCTCTCACTGACAAAATCTGCATACTACCTGCTACCGAACTCCTGCATCTTCTGTACGCTAACAACGACAGCGGGCTCGGCCACCTCCCGGTTGTCCAGCACTAGCAAGTCTGATCCTTCTTTATTGTACGGGTTCCCCGCTTTATCAAGAGCTGCTTTTAATGATTTTATGTCCTTCAAGAACGCTGACTGGACACTGTCAGTTTGCTCGTGGTGACGACGACTCTCATCGACATTGGCTGGTTGTGAGGACGTTTCAAACTGTCCTATGAGTCGTGCCATCTCAGGGCCGCTCACCATCTACAGCTGAAGTGCTGCAGGATCATCAGTTAGGCCAACGGCACCTCCATCTCCTTTGACAACCGCATTGTTCTGCTCATGAGTCTGATCGATGCAAATATTTGAGAAGATATTTGATGTTTTCGAGACGACGAAGATGGAGTTCAACAGGAACTCACTGTAGACATCCTCGTGCAGTTCAGGAAGAACCCTATTTAAAGGAGTGTTTTGTTCATCACAATAGAAGCACACATTGAGGTCTGGAGCTTTTCTGTCAGTGCGCTTCATTTGCTGAGAAAAATTTTCACTGGTTTCTTCCCCATTCCTCTTACGCGAGGCTCGCTGTAGCACTGTTTGGTTATACTTCAATCAACATGAGTCATGCAAACGAGCTTTCTTGGTGCTTAGAGCTTTGGCAACTCCAGTACCATCATCTGACTTGGAGAGTTGATAGATTTAGGTAGACCATAAACAGAGTCAAGCGCCAACAGAATCTCGGCGACATGTAAGCACCTTGGCTCATTACTCTGAGCATATCTTTGCTCTGAAGAGCCAGGACAACGAAGTTTTTGGCGAGTTTTTGACTGGCAGAGAAAACATTTTTGCCAATCAATTTCGCCGGAATTTGGGGAAGCAGTTCTACCCAGAAAAGGCTTTTGTAAGTTAATGCTTTATGAAGCTCTTTGTGTCATGTTGTGTTTTTATGGCCGCCATCTTTAAAAATGGCGGTTCTGAATACCAAATCACTTAATAAAATGCAAAAATCAAATATCTTACCCCCGAAAAAACTGCATATTCTCCAAGTGCTCTGGTTACTGAGCAAATGAAGTAAACAAAATTCGGTGGCCGCCATCTTGGAACAGGGCCGCCATGGGCTTCCTTGGAAAAATCTGAGATGCCCCAGGGTCTAAATTTTTTCGCCATAGTGAATTCTATACGTTTGTCAAGTTTCGTGCTTTTATCATAAAATGCATGATTGGTTCGGTATCTGCTGTACTATATCGTTTATTTCAACCAGAGTGCAAAGAGATTTTACGAAAATAAAATTGATAATATGAATAATATGTGTATGTGTGTCTGTGTGCATGTGTGTCCTAAATAATATTCTGGCCCTTTCTACCCTTAATAGATGCATAGATGTAGGTAACGTCGTTACCAACGGATGTTTATTGTCATATTATCAATTATTTTCCATCACATTTTTATATTGATTGATTATTTAGTTGCGTGAGTACCAACTTGTGATCTCACCTGTCCACAGCCTTGACGAGTTGCTCGACAGTTTCAGGTCGAGGTGGATACTTGGGCAGTGTGAGGGAGGCTGTGAGGTTGCCGCGGTAAGCTGTAGCCACAATGAAGGCGAACACCAACCAGGCTGCTACTAACACAGGGTTGGAGCGACTGATAGAAAGTCGCCCAGTGAAGCCCTGACCTAGCAGTGTCCCCACCACCTCCTGCACCACAGCTAAGGCTTCCACGTTACCATGACCTCCTATGACCACCTTTGAGCGATCGATCTGAAGAATACATATTATCATCAGCATGTTTCATATGAAGACAGAGTGCTCCCACATTAGGGCGATTTTTTCTTCTTTGTCAGATTCCCAAGCTATCACCCTTTACATCTGAAGCATCAGTCTCACAATATCTTACCATGAGTATGACCAGGCAAGTGAGGATGGTAGTAACCAGGATGGTGGCCCACACCTCGTTGGCCAGCGGGTAGTACAAACTCTGCCACTGAGGCTTCAGTGTGGGCTTGGCCATACCGAAACACAGAGGTGAATAGTCGAATGTGTGAGTGTAGTCGTACTGCTCCAAGCGATTAGGAAGGACCACGTACACAACGGTCGCTATGAAAGATCTTCTGGCCTCCACCTGGCTGGTAACCTATGAATAATAGATAATTCCCAGTAAGTATAATGTCAGCTATAACTTTGCTTTCTTCCTTTTCTTTCCTACCACTAAGATTGTACGCCGTACCTTTTTTAATCAGCTACCGGACCAGCTGCCACTGATTCCTATATAAATGTGAATGAGGAAGGTTGATAAAGTACTGATGAAGATATGTGTTAGCTGTAAAAATTTAATTTCCACCCCTAATAATGCTGTCTTGTTCTTGGTATAATCTACTAAATTTTCATATCGAGGTTAATGGAGATCCTGAATTCTTATCCCTATTAGTAGTTTAAGAGCCCGATTAAATAGGTAACCTAGCTTTTTGGTTGTTCTCTTTACATAGAAATGTCACTATATAATATATTCTACATATTACATTCACGGGTGTGGAGTTGGAGAAGATATAACACTCGAGTGCAGCGCTGAGTGCAGCACCGTTCACACTGCCTCCTTTTGTATTGACCCTGCTCAGGACCTGAGGTCTGACAGACCCCGCCTCCCTAAACGCAATGTCGATCCATTAACTTCCCCAAGCCTGAGGTTATCTTGCCTCAGAAGGCATTTGGGGCATGAAGGGCCCAGGTTATCTTGCCCAGAAGGTATTTAGATGTCTGATGAACCCCAGTTTACCTTGCCAACGCATTAACAGTCAGGACCATCTACATCTTCAACCTTTCCACTTGGCGTTCTGGAGGAGCCAATACCAAGAAAAGGTGTATCCTGTGCCCTAGGAAGCAAGACAGGAAGACGAGGTCTGAGTGCCTGCGCTGTCAATGCCCAGTATGTGGTGCGCACTCCCACTCTGTAGATCCGGGTTAGAGCATTTATATCATACATTATCATTCCATCTAACTTCTAAATATGCTATAAGATGTATTTTGAACGTATATGGACTATGATGTGCGCTATCTGAAAGTAGAAAAAAAATACCCCAAAATGTTAATGCCATTTTTGCCTTCCAGTCCTGCAGTTACTGTTCATCAAGTTGGGTCCTCCTTTTGGCTCCAGGATATTGAACCCATGACCACATCAAAATGACGCAGAAAAAGACTATAAATATTTTTTTTTTATAAAGTTATGATTAAAAAAAATATTGTTTAGTTTTTTATATACAAAAATAATTTTACTAATATTTTGTTTTTTAATTTTCCTTTAAATGGATGTATATTCATTTTATATGTTATATAACCTTATATATTTCAATAAGAGCGGTGAAAGTATTTTTTTTTCTTTGGGGTCATACAGACCTCAAGTTACCTGAGAACTGATTGGGACCAGAGGATTACCTGAGCAGGGTTCAAGGCTTAGTGTGCATTTTTCTAGGACTCACTTTTCATATATTTCATAATTCTTTATTAATAAGATGACTTCGAGGTCTGTGTGAAGTATATTTGCCAACCACAGGAAACAATGTCTTACCTCATCCCAGTTGGCAGATGGTAGGACGTGGATAGTAAAGTTGAGAACTTCAGATAAAGTCATGAGTTGGTTGTAGTCAATGCCGGAGTGCTTGGTGTTGTTGCCTTCACCAGAGGTCATCCAGTACGGGGCATACGGCAGGGCGGTCACGTTCACCCTCGCACCGTAGAAACTGGTGGACGCAAGTCATAACAGAATTTTGGGAACAGCTTGCTGGATCTCTGCATCATTGTATTAAAGTAGGAATGACTGCGTATACTCGTATAACTGCAGTATATATCATTATACATAGTACATCTTATACTTATTCATTACACCTGCTCTTTAGAGGCGCTGGCTGATAGTATTTAGCGTTTATGAGATACGGCTGTCTACTGTATATGAAAGTTACAAAAATGGTGAAAAATAATATAACTACAAAGCTTATTGTACAGTATATGTGCAAATGGGTGTTGATAACTGACACTGTAAAGATGCAACAAGCTGACATCGTAATAGACATAGTACATAAAGCGTTAATACTTATAAATAACATTAAACAATGATCTACTTTTCTGAGAATAAGAGAATACACTCACTTGGAAAATTTCTCAGGAAAGAGAGGGAGAGGGGTGATGTAGACGAGGCCTTGGGCGGGGATCCAAGAGGCCACTTGAGCAACTTGGGGTCCCAATAGGCTGTAGGGCAGGTGCACGTATACTCCATATCTACAATATAAGCAATTTAAATTAACTGATTATATTATTTACTTACGGGGGTGCCCGGCGTTGATGGGGTTTGTTTTACAGGGGCAGCTCATATTCTATATCTATATTTACACTATGGGCATACACTGTAACACTAGCATACACTATCTACTTTTATCCTCTTCACCACTGAGCGGCTCGTTACCCGCTTCGGCGTTCGGTCACGTCTCTGTTCGCACTGTTGGCAAGTACTGGGCAAGCACCGACTCCTGAATGTATCTGAACCTGCTCCAGTGTTGGTCAAGTCTGATGTTGAAAGAGCTCACACTCAGTACCATCAATAACTATACTATTCACATTACAACTACTACACTATCGTCAACAGAGAGAGAGAGAGAGAGAGAGAGAGAGAGAGAGAGAGAGAGAGAATTATTTTGGTAAAACAGAACTTTATCCAAAGGGAGCCCCAAGATATACTGTACAAATTATTTCGTGACCCTCTCGAGGGATCATGACATAAATTTATAATCGTGAGCGTAAGGTTATATCTAAGCTGAAAACTATGTAGCAGAAAAATAGTTTATAATGTACCATTTCTTTACTTAGAAAGTTAACTCTATCCTTCCTGTCATATTTGATTCACACCAGACTACACTGGACCTGTGAATGCATTATAATAGCGTCAACTGACCGGGTACAGAACAATGACCAATGACAAAATCAACAAATTATATCTCTCTTGTATCTCCATAAGTAAGTGTAGTGGTAAGTACGTATTGTACAGTACCTTAATACTTGGGATGCATCTTGTGTATTCATCACCATGGTGTTCATCATGGAGAAAGTCCAGTGGGACGTTAGAAGAAGCCTGATCCCCTTCGAAGATAAACGAGTGATGACCAGGAGCCTTGTAGCCCACACCAGGAGGCGGCCCTTGAGGGACCCCTCGGCGAAGGCGGTAAGGAAGGCTGGGTTGTCGCTCACCACCACCACCGTCACGCACCATGACAGTCGCCTAAGCTGATGATATTTACTCTTAAATGTAAATATAACCGAAGTATACAACTAGTAACAACAGATATCAGAATCTCATGTGGAAGTCCAGCATAATTAATACAACTTATCAATGATGCGAGAAAGACTTACACAGATATGAAAATAATATGAGGGTCATTAACCGTCTTATTACACGTGACCATTTTAGCAGGCCTGCTCTTATATCAATATGATCAATGACCATACTGAAATTTTCAAGGAGACATATTTTCTTTCCTTCAAAATTTCATTGTTGGAAATCTTTCCAATGGATATAATGGTCTTCATTATACCACACACACACACACACACACACATATATATATATATATATATATATATATATATATATATATATATATATATATATATACTTTCATTTCTTAAAGATAAATTGCATCTGTTAGATTTGACTTTTGAACATGATACATTTCACAAATTAATAGAGTTATGCGTTACTGACAATGTGTTTAGAGTAAATGGAAAGTTTTACAAACAAATGTTTGGCGTGATCATGGGTAATTGTCTTTCTGCGCCATTAGCCTGTATTTATATGGAGTTTTCTTTAGGCTAGATTACTACCCAATATAGGGGATTTTATTCCTCCATGGTATAGATATGTAGATGATGTTAACATAAGAACATAAGAAAATAATGAGTCTGCAATAGGCCGGTTGGCCTGTGCATGGCAGCTCCGGTCGCGAGTTACTACCACTCTCTATCATCCATGAATCTATCTAGCCTCCTTTTGAAACTTTCCAGAGTTCCAGCACTTACTACAAAGTTGCTAAGCTTGTAGGCGTTTTCAAGCGTGTTCACAAGTAAGTCCAGTTCGATCGCATACAATGTTTAGATAGGGCGGGGAAGAACTAAATGGGGATTAGTAAGATATCATTCACAGGAGTTTGGGTCACACTTGGAATGGCAGTTAGTGTGGTGCTGGTAACGGCAGGCGGCTGGCTGTAGGCCCCACACGGGCGTCTTGGTTTTCACCCGGATCTCCCAGGAGAGATAGATGCGTGCCACACATGCATGTAGGAAACCCGCTGAGACTGGCACCAAGCCAACACTACATGACACCACAGCTAAGGAAAATTACATAGGAGGAGGGAAAACTAGATCACTCTTCTAGCTGGGCAACTGGTCTGAAAAATGGCAGATGACATTCAATGTGGACAAATGTAAAGTACTCAGTATAGGAGATGTAAACAGAGAAACCAGATAACCTGATGAACAACGATGTTATTGAGAAATACGACTGAGAGAAATATTTAGGAGTAATGATAAGTAGAAATCTTAAGTCAAATAAACAATGTGTTTTGCTCGAAACAAGGCTAATAAAGTACTTGGATTCATACAAAACTAGCGAGGTCATCTTAAAACTGTATCTTGGGCTTGTGAGACCCCACTTGGATTACGCAGTTCAATTCTGTTCACCGTATTACAGAATGGATATAGATTCCTTGGAAAGAATTCAGAGGAGACTGACAAGACTAATCCCGGGCATTTTGAACCTTGAGTACAGAGACAGGTTAAAGCTTCTTAATTTGCACTCCCTTGAGAGACGTAGAGTGAGGGGCGATATGTTCGAGATGTATAAATGGAAGTCAGGGCTGAACAAGGAGGACATTACAAAGGTACTCAAACTATCCAAACAGGAGCGAACTCCTAACAATGGTTTTAAATTAGACAAATTTAGATTTAGGCTCGAAATAGGTAAACATTGGTTTGGAAATAGAGTAGTGGATGAGTGGAACACGTTACCAAATATCATCATTAACTCGAATACGCTGGCTAGCTTCAAACATAGGTTGGATGGATATATGAGCAATAGGGGCTGGGTGTAAAAGGGACTGCCCTGTATGGGCCAATAGGCGTGCTGCAGTTTCCTCCATTCATATGTTCTTATGCTCCTAAGGTACACGTGGTTTTACAGTGACCTGACCTAACTGAGCAGGATTTACTCTGCCGCTCTCCCCTCCTATAAAGTAAGTGGGAGAGAAGCTTTCTCTGGGTGTATATGGTTTGTCTAATCAAGTCCTGGTTTGACGTCGACGACCCTGATAGTTGATCTTACCCTCTGGACGTGGGAGTACTTTTTAAAGGATTGTTTGGTGTTATGCATGTAGTACAACTTGACGGTAATGGTGTATTCTGGGTCAGTGGTGTTGTGTACGATTACAGGTATGGTGCACAAAAGCACACATGACTCATGAACTCAAGTAAAGTAATAAGAATAAGCGGATGAGCCGCCCCCTGACGAGTCATGAGTGATTTTGGGTTTCATGTACTGTATGTGCATGCTGATCTAGGCTCTGATGGTATCAGGCCATTATGACTGACCCATATTCTTGTGCAGGTTATTAGTTGCAATCTTTGATCTTTGTGTAGTATAGTAAATTAAGAACTAGTATTTTTCTAGGGGTTAATATTATTTTGTGAGGCTTTCCAGACCACTATGCTATTTTAAGGATATGTGTGCTGAGGAGCTGCTGAGTTAAGGATCCGTCGGGTTGTGTTCCTGTGGGAGTGTCACTGGGCTTAAACTCAGGGAAGCGCGACCCTTGACCTCAGCAACTCCTGAGCTGGTGAGCTCACACTGGGACCAGGTTCATATTTTTCCTCTGCTGATGATAGGAGTGTCTAGCGATGAAAGATATGTTGAGGCATTAATCCAAATGAATTGTTGTCTCTTGTGCAATTAATATATCTTTACTGCTGTAAGGTTGGTGCTGTTAAGTAATACAAGTGTCATATCATTACCAGTGCGTCCCTTTAACCCCAATCTCAGGAACACCAGTCCAGGTCACGGTAAATACTTCAGCAATTTTGTTTGTGTTGATTCGGTATTCTGAGGGGCCCTTCCACTGCATTACCATCCATTTAAATAAACCCCAATAGGACTTTCGACCAGTTACATATATACTGTATGTACAGTGTATGGGTGGGTGTGTCTTAAATATTATAAATATTATGATACGACAGTAAGATATGTATATACACGAAATAATTTGCTTTTCGCTTGACGCTGATAGGAGGAATGATATTTTTTCTTGAAAAATTAATAAGCGAGTTAGATCTTATGTGTTTAATATGGCTGGTTATGTAAAATCATTAAAACAGACAATTGATCTGTTGTTAGTCTAGCTAAAAATAGAACAACTGCGATAGGCCAGAGCATGACAGTAGGGATAAGAATGTGTACCTTTGGATTTACTCGCCTTAGTAGTAATGTGAGAGTGACCTACCCGCCTCAGTAGTAATGTAAAAGTGACCTACCCGCCTCAGTAGTAATGTAAAGTGACCTACCCGCCTCAGTAGTAATGTAAAAGTGACCTACCCGCCTCTCACCCGCCTCAGTAGTAATGTAAAAGTGACAAAGTGACCTACCCGCCTCAGTAGTAATGTGAGAGTGACCTACCCGCCTCAGTAGTAAGAGTGACCTACCTACCCGCCTCAGTAGTAATGTGAGTGACCTACCCGCCTCAGTAGTAATGTGAGAGTGACCTACCCGCCTCAGTAATGTAAAAGTGACCTACCAGCCCTGCAGTAATGAAAGTGACCTACCCGCCTCAGTAGTAATGTAAAAGTGACCTACCCGCCTCAGTAGTAATGTGAGTGACCCACCTGCCTCAGTAGTAATGTAAAAGACCTACCCGCCTCAGTAGTAATGTGAGAGTGACCTACCGCCTCAGTAGTAATGTAAAAGTGACCTACCCACCTCAGTAGTAATGTGAGAGTGACCTACCCGCCTCAGTAGTAATGTGAGAGTGACCTACCCGCCTCAGTAGTAATGTGAGAGTGACCTACCCGCCACAGTAGTAATGTGAGAGCGACCTACCCGCTTCAGTAGTAATGTGAGAGTGACCTACCCGCCTCAGTAGTAATGTAAAAGTGACCTACCCACCTCAGTAGTAATGTGAGAGTGACCTTCCCGCCACAGTAGTAATGTGAGAGTGACCTACCCGCCTCAGTAGTAATGTGAGAGTGACCTACCCGCCTCAGTAGTAATGTGAGAGTGACCTACCCGCTTCAGTAGTAATGTGAGAGTGACCTACCCGCCGAGCCTCGTCGACCACCCGGGAGAGCTGTGCCTGCGTCACGTTAGCGTCCTGGCCGTCCACTGCCACCTCGAACAGCCCCACACCCCAGGGAGCCACCAGCTGACCCACCATCTGTTTAACAACATAGCGTATTGTAAGTCTGCGTTCCTAATTTGTTCAGTTTACTTAATTATTCTTGTAAGTAAAATAACCTATTCATTTTTAAGAAGCATGACGGTTTCATGTTCTCTGATTATATACTAAAAAGATAGTTCACTGTGTAAATATACGTTGGTGATATATTACTGTTAACGGCGGGTGAATATTACAGATGTTGCATTAGTGCTTAGAAAATTTATGTGAATTAAGTCTGTGTATTGAAGGATCGCAAGTGACACACACAGATTATATTAAAAGAGAATAATTTTGCAGTGCCTCGTATACAGTGGTGTAGGAGGTGGCACCATCAGTGAGCAGGATGAAGGAGCAGTTGGTCTCCACCATGGCATCCAGCACAGCATCCACTGCCTGACCCAGGCCTAACCTCACCTCACGTCCCACTGTGTCAAAAAAATTATAGCATTATAAAAGTTATCCAAAGAACAGCATAAGCAACGTCTAAGACTAATATTATTCTTTTTCATTAACTCTTTAATATAAAGAGCAAGATACACATATACTGTATGTTGATTAAGTTGTCTATAGGCCTACTCGTATTTACATACATTAACAAAGCTGTTAACCAACTTTTTTGTAAAACCTCTTCATTATCGGTGATAAAATCTATAATCTGCAAAGCGTATATTAGATATATTTTTATCACTATCCATTATTCGTTCATTTCTAGTTAGAACTTATCTAAAACTCTGAATTATTATTATACAATGTTGGAGATTCTCTCATGGCGATGACGTTATAATGTTATTACTGCACTTAAATAACTAAGGTATTCAAGAACGTAATAAGGTTAGTAATTACACTTGTCCATCACCAACTCACATCTTTAACCAACAACTATTTATAGAGTATTTACAACATTGTCGCTTTTTCTGTCTTTACCTATTTTTTTTTCTAACAGATCCTTCATGAACGTCTGTATTTTCCAAGACATCAATAAGTTTATTGTTGTTTCCTAATCAAACTTTTTAAAGGTTATCAACGTAACAGATATACAAAATTTTTGGCACGCTAATGCTTGCCAAACCTGGTCTATTTGGGTTTGTTTCACTATATATTTATATTATCTATCATTTATGTATTTCTTATTAGAAACAAAATTATATTCTTTTGTAGTATCAGTAATGTAATTATATTACAAATACAGCAATGTCAGATATAGGTGTCATATGAAAAGTGCCAACTCGTCGTCATGTTGTGAACTGACCTGTAGGGAGAGGCAGCTTGGCAGTGACAGCGTGCGACACAGCAACGACCGCAAGATAAGAACGCATCACTGAAGCACCCGTCTTCATTCTCTGTGTATATTGTCCATGTAGGCATGATGAAAAGACACGAAATGGAATAAGTTTACAGTTGTTGCCATATATTCAAGACTCACGTGTGAAGATGGCCATCTGTTGGGGTTCGGGTTATTGGAAACTAAGGTGTATAGTATGTCACTGGCTAATGTTCAGAAGAGACACCTACAATATAACTAATTATGTTTGAGGAATAACTGGTATTAAAACTTCAAATGAGTCCCCGTGCTTTGTTCGTAATGATGGTTCTGAGTCTGCATTAATCGACCCTCAACTGCTGTTTCAGCAGCTAGTCACAGTTGGCACAAACACTGGTGAACTGGACCCAGTGTTCCAACATGAACTTTGTGGCTGACCATCAAAATTCATTGCCATGGTTAATATATATATATATATATATATATATATATATATATATATATATATATATATATATATATATATATATATATATATATATATATATATATATATATATATGAAAGCATAATGTGTTGTCTAATAGTAGACCCTGCTGCCATATGGCATCACGAAAATTGTGACCAAGTTCCAGGTTGCTGATCTGCCTTTCTGCCTCATTTACACGCATAACTCTATCAATTTGAGGAATTATAATAAATAAACCTTAGTGATGGTCAGTTCAAAACTGATAATATATTACATAAATTTATTTGTCAGTGGCCCAAGGTTAAAAATGCTTTGAAAACCTTTGATCTAGATAAGATTAGGGTGAAGGGTGGAACTCCTATTGCTTGCTCTATCCTACCTAGACGTGGTGCCAGTCGTGAATGGATGTCCCGTGCAATCGGTTTCAATTGCTGGTTGGAAGAACAGTGTAAAGAGCTGTCGACGCCATTCATTGATAATAATTGGAGCCTGTACTATGGTAATGATAGTATGTATGCAAGGGATGGGGTGCATTTAAGTAGGAAGGGGGTGGCCGTGCTACCGAAGATAGATGACAGGGTAGTAAAGGTGGGGTTTTAATATGTCCAAATCCCATCAATGGTAAAGAGAGGAAAATACCATGTGAAAATAACAGCAGTGAAACAGAAGTAGATAATGCTGAAAATATAGTTAGTCATAATAACAAACATCAAAGTAATAAATGTAAAACAGATAGAAACGGAAGAAATATATTGAGTGTTTATTATACTAATAGTAGAAGCTTGTGTAACAAAATGGACCAGCTCAGAGCCATTGTTAGTAAAGAGAACATAGATATAATTGCAATAACGGAAACATGGATAAATTCAAACAGCAAACATTTTTTAGCAGAATTTCATATTCCAGGATATAACCTATTTAAATTTGACAGAGTAGGAAGGAGAGGGGGCGGTGTAGCAGTGTATATCAGGGTGTCATTAAAAAGCTGCATTAAATCAAACATTAAAACAAATAGCGACAATGAAAGTATTTGGGTAGAGATTGGTGAGGGCAGTGAATCCGTAGTCATTGGTGTTATATATAGACCACCTAATTTGAGTAGGAACGATGGTAAATTGCTATGGGAAGAAATAAAGAAGGCATCTAATAGAAACAATGTTTGTATTCTAGGCGATTTCAACTTTTCAGGCTTAGATTGGAAAAATCAACTTAGCGATTATGAATTTGAAGATTTTCTAGAAGTAGTACAAGATAGTTTTTTATATCAATTCATAAACTCGCCCACTAGAGGAAATAATATCCTCGATTTAGTTCTCAGTAATAATGAAAATCTAGTAAAAGATGTTGGGATTGGAGACGAACTAGGAAACAGTGATCATAAAGCCATTTATTTTAACATAATATGGAATGGCAGGAAGAAGGAAAATTCGGCCTTGATCCCGGATTTTAGGAAGGCTAATTACTGTAGCTTAAGGAGAGACCTAAGGGATGACCCTATGGTCAAAAGATTAATCCCCCCCACACCTCCGGAAACTGTCAACTTAGGACGGGAGAACCCCGAATTTAATTTAGCAGCTACTTATGAACAATTTATTGCGACAATCCATAATGCTCCAAATAAACACATCCCTAAAAGAAAATTCAGATCGATACGGAACCAACCAAAATGGATGAATAATAGACTCTTAGATCTTCTAGGGAAAAAGAAAGGAGTATATAGAAAAGTTAAGAAAGGCGAAAATCACTTACTTGGTTACTATCAGAACCTAACAAGACAGGTAAAAAGAGAAATTAGGAAAGCAAAGAGAAATTATGAAATCAAGATAGCAAACGAATCGAAAAATAACTCCAAAGCTTTTTATCAACTGTATAAATCAAAGGTTAGAGATACAATAGGTCCCCTTAAAACTACGACAGGAGAAATGACTGATAATGAGTTAGAAATGTGTAGTACGTTAAATAGTCATTTTCGCTCCGTATTCACAAATGAAAACCTAGCACAGTTTCCAGAAGTTCATAAGGTATATAACGACAGTATCGAAAATATGTTGATGAATATCAATATTACTAGTAACGATGTGCTTAAAGAAATTAACAAACTGAAGCCTCATAAATCGCCTGGTCCAGACGAGGTATTTGCTAGAATATTAAAAGAATGTAGAGATGAGTTGAGTAATCCATTAGCAGTTTTATTTAATAAGTCATTAGAATCGGGCCTAGCGCCAGAAGCTTGGAAACTTGCAAATGTAGTTCCGATTTTCAAAAAAGGTGATAAATCAATTGCATCAAATTACCGTCCCCTTAGTCTCACGTCAATCATAGGCAAGTTGCTAGAGTCAATTATTGCTACGAAAATCAGAAGCCACCTTGTAACATTCAACTTAATTCATTCTTCTCAGCACGGGTTCACCCAGGGACGTTCTTGTTTCACAAATTTGCTTAGCTTTTTCTCAGAAGTATATGTAGCGGTAGATAATGATAAGTCATATGATATAATTTATTTAGATTTCAGTAAAGCATTCGATAGAGTCCCTCATGAGAGATTGATAAGGAAGGTAGAAGCACATGGAATAGGTGGATCATTATTAAAATGGATTAGGTCATGGTTAACTGGTAGGAAACAAAGAGTCAGCATAAATGGATTTAAGTCAGACTGGGGTGCGGTCAAAAGCGGAGTTCCCCAGGGATCTGTATTAGGCCCTCTGCTGTTTGTTATATTCATTAATGATCTTGATTTAGGTATAACTAGTAGGATTAGTAAATTTGCAGATGATACCAAAATGGGGAGAGTGATAAATTCAGACAGTGACTTTGAACACCTTCAAAGAGATCTAGATACCTTACATGAGTGGTCAGTAGACTGGCAAATGAATTTTAATACTGATAAATGCAAGGTACTACAGATAGGGAAGACGAATACAAACGTTAAGTATAAACTAGGTAACACGGAAATAGAAAACTCAGATTGTGAAAAAGATCTAGGTGTATTTGTTAGCAACGACTTGAAACCTAGAAAACAATGTATTAGCGTTCGCAACAAGGCAAACAGGATTCTTGGGTTCATATCTAGGTCTGTGAGTAACAGAACTGCTGACGTTATCTTGAAACTTTACCTAGCATTAGTGAGGCCACACATGGATTATGCGGTTCATTCTGGTGTCCTTATTATAGAATGGACATAGATTCTTTGGAGAGAGTACAAAGAAGAATGACAAAAATGATCCATAATATTAGAAACTTTCATATGAAGAAAGACTGAAAAGCTTAGGCTTACATTCATTAGAGAGGCGTAGAGTTAGGGGAGATATGATAGAGGTGTACAAGTGGGTAAGTGGGATTAACAAGGGTAAAATGGAAGATGTTCTGAAGCTCAGTAATAACGAAATAACTAGAACAAATGGCTTTAAATTAGATAAATTCCGATTCAGAAAGGATATAGGCAAGCACTGGTTTGGTAATAGAGTTGTGGATATGTGGAATAGGCTACCGAGTGCTATCGTAGGATCGGGGACGCTAGGGAGCTTCAAGACGAAGTTGGATAGGCACATGGAAGTGCTGGGATGGGTGTGAAAGGGATCTGCCCTGTATGGGCCAGTCGGCCTCCTGCAGTATCCCACTTTCTTATGTTCTTATGTATGTTCTTTTGATAGTTATTTAGTGGGTCCCTTATTTTTTACCTAACCTGACTAGTCACGTCACCCCCCTTCTCTTAAGCTCCTCTACGTGTGTGTTGGTGTGGGGATTAGTGGATGACATCATTATGACCTGACCTCATATTTTTAAGGTCACCCTGTATATTTAAGCCTCTCTCTGTTCATGTAATCCAGTTGCCTCTGAAGATGTCTTGAATAAAGACGAAAGCTAAGGTGCTCCGTTGTTTCCCTTTTCCCGTGTGATTTTATCAAGAATTATCTTATCCACGTTTTCATTGATCTACATGATATATATATATATATATATATATATATATATATATATATATATATATATATATATATATATATATATTTTTTTTTTTTTTTTTTTTTACGAGGATTTGCCCACCGGCCACAAGTCATCGACCCATATCGGGGTCTGAGGGCGAAAAAATAATAGTAAAAATTAAATAGAAATGAAAGAAAATAATTAGATGCCGGAAAACCAGCTTTTTGAAGTGAGACAGATTGTATGATTATGGAAACGCATAAGAAGGCAGAGCATTCCACAGTTTGGCTGTGTGAGGAAAGAAGGTATAATAACGGGTTATTCTAGTGTGACCGACAGCCACAGAGAAACGGTGGGCACCGCGGTCAAGACGAGTGTTACGAGCCTTGCCGGCGGTATACAGGATGCCAAATCCACCAAACATTGCCCGTTAAAGTACCTGTAAAAGAGAGAGAGCGAAGCAACAATGCGGCGAAGAGAAAGGGAAGAAAGATTATCAACTCAAGGAGGAGAGTTAATAAGACGAAATGCCTTTGACTCCACCCTATCTAACAGTTGGACAGAAGAAGAGCCACCCCAGATATGAGAGCAGTACTCCAAGTTAGGACGAATGAATTCCTTATATACATGAAGCAACTGCTCAGGAGTGAAGTACCTACGGCATCTGTACAGCATTCTCAGCTTTCGGGAGGCAACTTTATATATATATATTTACGTGTGTGTGCACATGTGTGCATGTGTGCTTTCTCGTTTCACATTACATGCTATTGTTTGGCACTTAGTACCTCTAAACCTGTCAGTCACAGTTAGATTTTCTTTTGGTGAAACTTTTTAGACAACCAATTTCTCTTCTTCGGAGATTTTATAAAATTAATTTAATTACCACCTTGCAAAATAAGAATCAAGTGTTACCACATGACCTAAAGGGATTTTTTTTCCAGTGAATATAATAATCTCTAAAAGTCACTTTAACTTGCTTTTAAGTCAAACTGCTGCTTAATCTGGAAGGAAACTAGTGGCATGGGTTATGAATGGTGGCGCAGTGAATTGAATATAATTCATAACTTTTATTGATATGTTGAGAAACTGAGAAGAAACCTAATGTTCATTTGTTCGATTGGACAGCATTAATTTTTTGGGTAATACATACAAAGCCTTCTCTCAGTTTGTCTTTGAATGTCATTCTGGTGCCCTTATTATAGAATGGATATCAATTCACTAGAGTCGGTGCAGCGAAGAATGACGAAAATGATTCCGGGAGTTAGAAACTTTCCTTATGAAGATAGACTAAGGAAACTAAACTTGTATTTCCTAGAAAGACGAAGAGTGCGGGGAGATATGATAGAAGTATTTAAGTGGGTGAAAAGAATCAACAAAGGAGATACAAATATCTTATAATATCCGAGCAGAATAGGTCTCGTAGTAACGGATTTACGTTGGATAAGTTTAGGTTTAGGAGGGAGATAGGAACTGATTCACAAATAGGGTGGTGGACGAGTGGAGCAAGCTTAGCAACTTTGTAGTAAGTGCTGGAATGCTGGGAAGTTTTAAAAGGAGGCTAGATAGATTCATGGATGATAGGGGGTGATTGTAACTCCGGACAGGAGCTGCCATGCACAGGCCAACCGGCCTATTACAGACTCCTTATGTTCATATGTTCATACTATAACCGCCCAATGAGCAACTGTGGGATAAGGAGACCCTTGCACGTAGGACTCGATTGTTCTTTATTCGGTCAAAACCTGCAGAGTACAAATTACATATGCTACGTATGCGATAATTAATTCACTCGTATGTTCCTTCACTATTAACAACTACATATAATATATTTGAGAGAGTGTGGTGTTAAACCATATAAAAACTTACGTGTTTCGGGTCTAATGTAGGACCTATTAGCTCCCTGACTTGAGATCTCACTGGACGGCTAGAGACTAGTCGAGCTAGTCAGCCGGAGGCGAGGGCCATCTGCTCCACATTTAACACCTCAGCAGAGCTCTTTGTCAACACTCCTTCTGTCTCTCTCCTTTCTCCCTTTCTCTCTCTCTCTCTCTTCCTTCTAGTTTATCCTACTGTGGCGGTAACACAAACGTTCCGAAATTCTTTTTATAAAATTTTAGTATTAAATTTCAGTAATAGAGGTTTTGTTATCATAGCATTAATTACATATTTTGTATCATTCCTATTTTTTAATTTAATATTTTCCTGGCCTTGAAAAATTGTCACAAATTATTTTTCTCTTGCTAATTAATGTGGCTAGAAATTTTAGGACAACATCTGCCTTCACGTTGATCTTGGAGATCATAATACATTTCAACGTTTTGTCCTCATCATAGTGGGGAAATGCACTTTATATTGCCAGGTCAAGAATGATATGATTTGTAGTGTACGAACTGTATTGGCACTGGATATTGAGATTGATAGTAGGCGGCGCTCCTACTACTGCCGTTAACACTTGCCGCTGAGGCCTCTTTGTTCCATTTATCCAAGTGAGCTCTTCCACTTTTTGATTTGGTCTCCACCGTGCCTTCCATCTCCCACCGACGGACCCACCGATACACTGTGGAGATGCTTGTGCCAGTATCACAAGAAATGTTCCGTGCCGACATTCCACTCAGCCACATCCATACGATCCTGGTGCGGTCTGCTATCCCCATTCTATGGTTTGTTATTCGCCTCCCCATGAGCTGGTAGGCTCTGTCGAACAACAGCATATGTAGAGGGTAGCAACTGAAGAGATTATTGCATTTTTTTTGCTGGCCAGTAAAATTTATTGTCGTCAAATATAGACTTAAGTCTTTTAGTATATTTTTTATGAATATAATGCAAATAATAGTAATAACAATAATGAAAATAATAATAGTAATAATAATAATAATAATAATAATAATAATATAGTATTATTACTAATAGCATTATTATTATTGTGAGTAGTAGCAGTAGTAATATTCGACATCTTAACACAGAACAAGACCTTTCCTCATAAATGAAAAAATTACAAAAAACATGTTCTACCAAGACCTAAAGATAGATGGATATGGTTCTGTATACAGCTATGCAACAAGATCATAGAGACATGCAGTGTAACTCGAGCGTCTGTACTAGGCACTTAGGACTAGCTGCATTTTTATGTCAGCTCCACCATTATCTCACCCAACTGAGACATGAATAGAGGCCTTCTACCCCTGCAATAGGGAAAGTTTATATGGTTAACTCCCCTCAATGTTTATTTAACGACATTATATGAACATTCACTCTCCCTCTCTCTCCTCAGGTTTATCTCTCATGTAGATATAGTTAGTTACGCTCTTCAACGCAAAAGAGAAAGGAGTAGGTAAGTAGTCTAAAAGCAGAATATGTGAAAGTATATCTAAGGTACAAATTGCATGTACAGTGCATACCCCAGTTCATTGTAGTCTGCCTACCTGGAAGGGTACACGAGTAAATATTCAACTAGCCATTAAAGAAATCTGGTTCACTTTCTTTGAAATCACATCGGTCGTATAATGTACTTTTGTTAACTGACAGGCATGCCCATATATGGGAATTACTACTATTTACGACCAAAGTAAATATATAACCGCTTCTTAAGCTAGTTGGGCACCTTATGTACTAAAACAACAGAAAGAGGCGAATCACTTAATACATCTTGAGTTATCCAACTATGCACACTATGTATACCTTACGCAGTAGGACGGGAGATGAGATAGTTATCGTCACGACAGCACTGAGGAACTGTCTCCACCAGATCCAAATTATGTATTTATAGGCGAAGTCGCAGAACGTAATCTGGCAACTGATTCAGGCAGGGTTGAAGTGTTGTCATTATTAGAGTATTTTGTATTTTGATAATCCAGACTGGTGTATATATATATATATATATATATATATATATATATATATATATATATATATATATATATATATATATATATATATATATATATATATATATATATATATATATATGCAAATAAATCACTGTAGGTGCGCATAATTACATCTTGGGTGAGTACAAACAGTTTGTACTCACCCCTGAAGATGTGAATTATACGAAAGCGCTTGGGAACTTCGTGTTTTATTTTTCCTTGTGGTTATCAGCATATATATATATATATATATATATATATATATATATATATATATATATATATATATATATATATATATATATATATATATATATATATATATATATATATATATATATATATAAATGTGTGTGTAATTGTTGATTTATAACGTGTATGTATGTATACAATCAATGTTTTCCTCACTGATTAAGCCATTCTCAATTATTTTCTTCAGAGACAGGTTATAGCATCTTAATCTGCACTCCCTCGAGAGACGCACGGTAGAGTGAGGGGCGATATGATTATAGTATATAAGTGGAAGTCAGGGCTAGACAAAGGTGATATCACAGAGATACTCAAACTATCCAACCAATGCTTTTAAATTCGATTTTTTTTAGTTTAGGCTCAAAATAGGTAAACATTGGTTTGGAAATAGAGTAGTGGATGAGCGGAACAAGTTACCAAACATCATCATTAACTCGAATACGCTGGATAGCTTCAAATATAGGTTGGATGGATATATGAGCAATAAGGGTTGGGTATAAACGGTATTGCCCAGTATGGACCAATAGGCCCGCTGCAGTTTCCTCCATTCTTATGTTCTTATGATACTTCCAAACAGTCCTCGGTGATATTTCTGAAACATAGGTATAGGGCTGAGGAGAAATAGGTACCACTTGGTTTGAAAGAGGTAAACCAGAAATGATCTCCATCGTTTTATTAACTCACCGAAATACAACTTTAAGGAAATTAAATCCCTTAACAGATTAAAAGCCACAAAGACAACTCTTGGTAACCCGAGATATCCATCAGGGCGATCAAGGAGATGCCTCACACTTCCAATATATAGATATCCTTAGTCCGATATCTTCTATAATATCTGTTTATTTTTATCATAACTGTGATGCTGTATTTTCAGAGTTTATAATACATGACTTTTTTACATGTGCGTTGTACTCAGACTGTTTCATGACCAGAGTTAAAGAACTTCACTGTTCACAGGGGTTTCTAGCTTCCATATTTAATACCTAAATACACTTAATTAACCGGGTTCATTGAATCAGCAATGTTGTGCAATGACGCCAGCAATGACGAGTCCCAGCAGGAGGAGCAATAGAGGCCCCTGCAGGTGTATGAAGGTAGCTTGATGCTGCCGCTGCCAGACCCTTCTTCTATAATCAAGTCTCTCCGTTGCTGTTTCTACTTCAGTTTCTCCCGTTATCTTGTGCGACTCTCCGCCTCAGCATCAAACAATATCTCTTTTCTCCAATGTTCATACAGGCCAGCCTGGAAGGTCGCATTCTGGTAAGGTAAGTCGGTTATATTGTTGAAACGTATTCCTACGCAATTAAGGACGAAGAACATTATCGTTTACTGAGTGAAACAAACGAACAGAGAACAACAAAGGTAGGGTGAAAGGGAAGGTAAACGCTATAGGACAGTGGCACATCTACGTATAACAATACTAAAGCATGGATACCATTGACCGACCGCGCTTATTTACCTCCTTAATGGCCATTATATAGCGATCCAGTGCAGGCTTATACGGGGCGTCGTGGGGTACTGGCCAGGCCGCTGTAGTGTAAATAATTTTCTCCCGTCCAATGTACATCGGAAAAGAGCCATCTAATGGCGTGAAGTGCTGAGCGACGGTCAGTTCTATGTACTGGCGTCCACCAAGGTGTGTTTGTCTGGCTAAGGAAATGGAGGTCATGGAGACAAGGATGTCGGTGGAATATGTTTTTTTTTTTAGCCACCAAAGTTTTAAAGCTGTCAGTCGACTATTCCTATGACTTTGAGTAAAGAATACGTAGATATAGGATTACAAAACGCAAAAAAGAAAAGGGTTATTTGGAGATGACATCCCTCTGATGGGCGATTGAGAAAAAAATTGTGGGTGTTAGTGAACATGTTTAGAAGAGTATACTCATAAAGAAAACGGATACACTACCACAACATGTGGAAAAAGAGAATTCGGATTCAAGAACATAAAAAAATTTGGAAAAGACAATATTTAGGGGAAAGAAGATGCAAGTAATATGGAATACAGAAATCAAGATATATGCTAATGAAAGAAATGTCGCACAGAAAGCTGACCAGTATTTAATAAGGTCCTATGGACATTTGAGTAAATATAAAGTGAAAGATTCGGTAGAATGCCGAAAAAAATAGCCCACTTTCTCTTCAGTGAGTCTTGCAGCCCACCGAACGATACCGACTCCAAGAGATATCAACTCCCCCAAGGCGCTGAAAACACTTGACTCCGACTCAATAAAGAAAACCTTGTAGGAAGATCCTCACGATTCCATTGCCATGACCTACCCGCCTCAGTAGTAGAGTGAGAGTAACCTACCCGCCTCAGTAGTAATGTTAGAGTGACCTACCCGCCTCAGTAGTAATGTGAGAGCAACCTACCCGCCTCAGTAGTAATGTGAGAGTGACCTACCCGCCTCAGTAGTAAAGGAGAGTGACCTACCCCTAGTAGTCACCTCCCGCCTCAGTAGTAAAGTGAGAGTGACCTATCTGCCTTAGTAGTAATGTAACAGTGACTCACCCGCCTGTAGTAATGTGTGAGAGGACCACCCGCCTCAGTAGTAAAGTGAGAGTGACCTACCCGCCTCAGTAGTAATGTGAGAGTGACCTACCCGCCTCAGTAGTAAAGTGAGAGTGACCAACCTGCCTCAGTAGAAAAGTGAAAGTGACCTACCCGCCTCAGTACGAAAGTGAGAGTAACCTTCCCGCCTCAGTAGTATTGTGAGTGTGAACTACCCGGCTCAGTACGAAAGTGAGAGTGACCTACCCGCCTCAGTAGTAATGTGAGAGTGACCTACCCACCTCAGTAGGAAAGTGAGAGTAACCTACCCGCCTCAGTAGTAATGTGAGAGTGACCTACCCGCCTCAGTAGTAAAGTGAGAGTGACCTACCCACTTCATTATTAATGTGAGAGTGACCTACCCGCCTCAGTTGTATAGTGAGAATGACCTACCCGCCTCTGTAGTAATGCGGGAGTGACCTACCGGCCTTGGTAGTAATGTAAGATGGACCTACCCGCCTCAGCAATGATGTGGGAGTGACCTACCCGCCTCAGTAGTAATGTTAAGTGACCTACCCGCCTCAGTAGTAATGTGAGAGGCATACCCGCCTTAGTAGTAATGCAAGAGGGACCTACCCGCCTCAGTAGTAATGTAAGATGGGCCTACCCGCCTCAGCAGTGATGTGGAAGTGACCTACCGTCTCAGTAGTAATGTGAGTGACCTACCCGCCTCAGTAGTAATGTGACAGTGACCTACCCGCCTCAGTAGTAATGTGAGTGACCTACCCGCCTCGTAGTAATGTGAGAGTGACCTACCCGCCTCAGTAGTAATGTGAGAGTAACCTACCCGCCTCAGTAGTAATGTGAGAGTGACCTACCCGCCACAGTAGTAATGTGAGAGTGACCTACCCGCCTCAGTAGTAATGTGAGAGTGACCTACCCGCCTCAGTAGTACAGTGAGAATGACCTACCCGCCTCAGTAGTAATGTGGGAGTGACCTACCGCCTCAGTAGTAACGTGAAGTGACCTACCCGCCTTAGTAGTAATGTAAGAGTGACCTACCCGCCTCAGTAGTAATGTGAGAGCTCTGTAGTAATGTGGGGTGACCTACCCGCCTCAGTTGTACAGTGAGAATGACTTACCCGCCTTAAGCAATGTAAGATGGACCTACCCGCCTCAGCAATGATGTGGGTGACCTACCCGCCTCAGTAGTAATGTGAGAGTGACCTACCCGCCTCAGTAGTAATGTGAAGTGACCTACCCGCCTCAGTTGTACAGTGAGAAGCCTACCCATATGTAATGTAAGATGGACCTACCCGCCTCAGCAATGATGTGGGAGTGACCTACCCGCCTCAGTAGTAATGTGAGAGTGACCTACCCGCCTTAGTAGTAATGCAAGAGGACCTACCGCCTCAGCAGTGATGTAAGATGGACCTACCCGCCTCAGCAGTGATATGGGAGTGACTACCCGCCTCAGTAGTAATGTTAGAGTGACCTACCTGCCTCAGTAGTAATGTGAGGCAACCTACCCACCTCAGTAGTAATGTGGGGTGACCTACCGCCTCAGTAGTAATGTGAGAGTGACCTACCCGCCTCAGTAGTAATGTAAGAGGGACCTACCCGCCCCAGTAGTAATGTGGGGTGACCTACCGCCTCAGTAGTAATGTGAGTGACCTACCCGCCTCAGAAATACTGTGAGAGTGACCTACCGCCTCAGTAGTAATGTGGGAGTGACCCATCCGCCACAGTAGTAATGTGAGAGTGACCTACCCGCCTCAGCAATAATGTGAGTGACCTACCCGTCTTAGTTGTAATGTGAGAGTGACCTACCCGCCTTAGTTGTAATGTGAGAGTGACCTACCCGCCTCAGTAGTGATGTGGGAGTGACCTACCCGCCTTAGTTGTAATGTGAGAGTGACCTACCCGCCGAGCCTCGTTGACCTCCCGAGAGAGCTGCGCCTGCGTCTCGTTAGCGTCCTGGCCGTCCACTGCCACCTGGAACACCCTCACACCCAGAGCCACCAGCTGACCCCTCATCAGTTCCGTAAGAAATTGATACTATACCTGTATACTCTATATTACATTTACTTTTCACTTTCTGCACAAACTCTCCAGCGATACACGATACACACCCCGATAGACGCTACCTGACCTAGCTTGGAGAAGGACGTGCTCGTGT